GTATATTTTAATGGATAGTTTTATGATATTTTTAGTTTTTCTCCAAGCATGGTGAAGCAGGTCTTCTTGTCCTTGATGTAGGAAGAGTAGTTCTTCCATACTGTTCCATACTAGCGGTTCTTTGTCAAGTTCCTCAAGTCGAGAGAAGTTTCTTTCGTGAGTGTTCATATTTGATCTTTAACTTGGTCTATAACATCAATAACATCAACCATCCTCATGTTTACAAAGACTCAAAAAATACTGAAGGAATACTGTACATGGCCGTAGCCGGAGTTTCACATATTCATTATAGGTATTTTTTAAGCATGATTTGAACTCCAATCATTTTTATTTTAATAATAATGATAAATGAGGATGTGTTATAATAAAATTATGGTAATTGGAGCTTTAGTACAACAACAATTAAAAAAAAGTTAGAGCCTCCCCCCCCCCCCCCACCCTCCTTCTCAACTCTTTAGGAAAGAGAAAAGCATTTTAAACATAATATTTTTGAAAATTTAAAATAAGAATTTATCGACAGAATTCAAATTTAATGATAAAGTTTTTAGGCGTTCAGAAATAATGATCTCGTAAAGTTTACAACCCCCTCATTTTATTCTCGATGGAGAACGTTTTTCTATACTACTAGTGTTATGGGTTTGTCTACCTATTATTAAAACTAAGTTTACCTAAGTATATAGTTACATTGAGATTGTACTGAAACTGATAGCTATGAAAAGGTGTATAAATATTTATTACTTGAATTCGTATTGTATATTGCTTTATATTATATATTGCTAGTATGTATAAATTTTATTTAGTATTTGAGAAAACAAAAAACAAAAAAATTTTATTACAGTTTTTATAACACGGTTTTGTAAAAATAAAAAAAAAAAAAAAAAAAGATTAAAAAAATAAAATAAAATTATGTATAAATGTGTATGTGTATCTGTGTATGTATGTATTTATGTATGTATATTGGTATATATATGGGTGTATATGTGCTGTTAGTATGGGTGAGTGTGTGCTTGCAGTCTATGTATATTCAAAAAAAAAAAAAAAAAAAAGGAATAGTGCTGCATAACCTCTGGCGTAGGAACACCTAACTATAACTGCTTGGCAATCGTTTGGCCGGATTGGGATTCGGTGATACCACCTATGATCGCTTGTATGGTAAAGATGCAAACACAATATATACTTAAAAAAAAAACTATATTAGAACAAGAGCTAATTATCAACAAGAATGTCCACTCTGATTTTATTTTCTCCAATTTTAATGCAAGAAATGTTCAATTCAATTATTTTTTTTTTTTAATTTATTCAATTTATATTAACATCACCAACACACTATGACGTCATCAAACACATCGATAATTATACTGAAGTATATTATTTTTAACTATTCTATGCAACGGTTTATATAATTATTTATCGGAACAGATCCAATTCAAAAGCTAATAAACATTTACAAAAAATCAATAAAAATGAATTCATTTAAAGCGTATTGATTCCAGCGCTTCTCTACGACAAGACCTCAAGGACTTCTCCGAGTTTCCGCATTCTTTATTCCTAATTTTTAATGTTATATTTATTGTCATATTTCTATTGTTAACGAAATCTTTATTGTAAATATTATTTATTTCTTTTTTTATGCCTTACGTTTTATTCACAAGTTATAATAGAAATTGTAGTAATGATTGTAATAAAGAATAAAAAAAAAAAAAAAAAAAAGATATAAATTCAGGTAGAGAATGATAGTTTGGTAACTTTTAGACATTTTGAGGGGGGGATGTATATTTTACACTTATGTATACTTTCATACTTATGCCTATAAATCTATTTCGGGCAAATTGGGGTAGCTAAATTTTTTTTGGTTATCTATGACAACATTCAAAAGGATGAGAAATTCATTTTAAGGTGGAACTCCGAGGACTCTTTTGAGATATTATATTTTCAAAAATCTTTTAATTACTTATTGAGCAAAAGATATCTTTTTAATTACACATTGAGCATAGGCTATCTTTAAAGTTTTAAGCTTTTTGCTTTTAAAACAGATTTTTAAAAATATATAAATAAAGTTTATGATAAAAAAAATTAAAAAATATAAAAAATGTGCGATTTTTTAGCAGAAATATTTTTACCTTCTACCATGTATGAAAAATGCTTGCCTGGATAGAATACTAGACATAAAAGGACCAAAATAAGATTTTTTGAAATATTTGCTTATAAATTGTAACAAAAAAAATTGATAAGAATGGTGCATTTGAAAAGTCCACTTTTTGAGCTTTTCGCTTGATCGTGCGATATTTAGCAAAAGTTTAACAAGAGTATGAAAAGGTATTTGAAACAAGCAATATTTATAAAGTTATCAAAGTGTCAGAAAGAAATCCGCTTCTTAAAAACGGAAGTTAAAAAGTTTAAACAATTACACAAATATTTTTTATCAGCTCTAAATTAAAAAGATTGATAAACTATCAAAAAGGAGTACGAAAAATTAAATAATAATATAAATTTTAAGAAATACTCTTTAGACACTAGACAACAGAGTTGTTAAGCTCCAAAATTCTAAGCGTTGTCATGTAAGCATCAATAACCTTCTCTCGCTACTTTACAATTAATCTAAATGCAAAAATAAAAATCTTTACAAACGATTATCAAATACAGCGTTAATTATTAAAGTACTAATGGCATTTTTATTGATAATAAAATGAATGACTTAGTTGCAATAGCAATTGCCAAGTTATTACTTTACAAACTCCTAACAATATTATTAATATGTTATTACTTAAGTTATTACTTTAAACGTGGTTTTGATTCAAAACCATGTTTCTTTAAATGTATGTCTTTAAACCAGTATCTTTAAATGTTAGTGGTGATGCAGCTTGCGTTAAGGAGATAGACCCAGCTGAAACTAACTAACTAACGTATACTCATAGGCTGTGGTTATGCTAATATTCTTTTTTTTTTTTTTTTTTTTTTTGTATGTATTTAGGTGCTCCCAGAAGTCCTTACGGTCTTATCATAGAGCATCGCGGGAGAGCATTTAACAGGGAGTTCACGCCTCCTTCCGTACCAATGTCGCTTGTTGGGCTAGAGCTGGCGTCGAACCTCGGACCTCTGGGTTCTGAGCCAGAACTCTAACCACTGCGCCACGGCTGCTTAAATATATTCTGCCCTACTTATTAAATAGACAGAAACTTCAAAATTTCCATTATGAGATACTATTAAATACAAAAAACGTATTTAGTCAACCAGTCAGCTTAGTACATTTCAGAAACTTTTAATATCATCAATTGACTTTAAAAAAGAGCTTACAGTCTTTTTGCTATGTACTAAAATTATAATTAATTTGTTAGCATGTTTTAGGTGAGAAAGAAAACGAATGCGGTCTTTTTGCTTTGTACGATGAGAGAATATATGTTAATGAAGTAAATTTTGGCCCTAAGTCATTTTTTGTCACTTACTGTCTATTTTGTATGTAGCGCAGTATTATACTGTGGTCGCCTGTACAAATAGATCAAGTGTAGCTAATTAAATAAATGATGCGGAATGCGAAAACTAGTTCGATTAAAATGCTTTACAATGCTTGATTGTAGGTAATTTCAACATCTAACATAGGTACCTCGTCTAGCCGGTTTAGAAGGTTCGAAAATAAAAAGCCTTAGTATTAAGCATAAAGAAATAATTTGAATGTTTAAAGTTAATGTTTTACACTACTGTGCATTCTTTTAAAGTAGACTAATTTCCTGGTCAAAAAATTTCGAAATTTTTTTTTTAATTGATTGTTTTTTGCAGAGTACATTTCCTGCTTGATATTTAGAGCCATATATAATTGCTGGAAAGTTTTTTTTTATAAATTAATTCACTTTCAACAAGGCTGTAAGCAAATTATATTCCAAAAACAATTTTTCTAATATGTAACACCTAACTAACAAAATTTTAAATTTTCAAGATTTGTTACTGTTTTTGTTTAAACCAAGAAAAATTTGAAAATATTTTTAACGATAAATTTTCTAGAAACACTATTGAAGGAAATCGGTGTTATAATTTATAAACAACATTAAAAACTATTTTGCACACAGTAGGTTCTTAATTAATAGATCCAAAACAGGTTTTTATCTAAGTTTTTAAGTTACATACTTAAAAATTGTAAAATCGCGGGGTGGGGGTCAGTGGGGTATGCTTTAAAGGTTTTAATACTCGGTGTAGTTAAGGCAATTTTGAAATATCTTATTGTCGTATGATATTTTGTTGACTACAGCATATTTCCGTTAAATAATCAAGTCTGTGAATTATGAAAAGACGAAAAAAAATAAAATGATAGATTTTGCGGTATCATCAAATAAAAATGTTTATAGCGAAAAAACCCAGACCGAAGATTTTTTATTTTTAAATCTTCTGAAAATCTCAATCGTTTGTCCAAATTTGAAGATTTTAAATAAATACGTTTTTTTTAGGTAAAATGAATATCATAGTTTAATAATATGACTTGTTCTAATCGTTTATTGGCAATTTTTCTTAATTTCAAGCCCTTTCTTGGTCGGAATTCTAGTATTTTTTGTGAAAATTTATAGAAATATTGTATTTTCACAACTATATATAGTTAATATACGTCAGAACCAATTAGACTAGGATCAATAGTAAATTAAGGTCTTTTTCAAAAGATTTCAACTAAATTCATGTAAACGCCGATGAGCGAAAGTGATTTAAAGACTCCAAAATGGTGTTCTTTAGATTCACTATTAGGGGTTATAAAATGGTTTTGAAATTTATATATAAAAAAGAAAAATTTCTTTTAATATTAAAAAAAAACAAAGCAAAAAAAAAAATTTCAACATCTAAAGCACTTGTTCGGACATGATGCGCTGATAAAACCGTCTATCTAAGTACTACACCGAGTATCTAAGTAATCTTTTTGAATTTACAAAACTTTTTAAAATAACTTTTAATATGATACTAATAATATTAATAAAATACTTTATATATTAATAAACTTTTAAAAATATACATAAAAAACAATAACATAACTAAAAATTTATTTATTTTTAATGACCAATCAAGTTATCGGTTATTAAAAATAAACCAATAAAACATGTCTTTTTTTTCTGAATAAATAATATAAAATATTTCTCTAAACGTTTGTCCCATAAACAGCACGATCTAGTTTGTATTTTATCTCTTCGATAATTTCCGGGGCACTCGGAGTAGTAGGGGAGGAGCTTATATCGGATGAAGGAGAGTAACTGTTCATATGAAGAATTTCAGTTGGGTCTATCTCCTTAACGCAAGCTGCATCACCAGTAACATTAACAAGAATCTGTGCCTGAAATAAAATAAAAAACAGACATTAAATTATTAAAAACAGACATTAAATCAAATTTTGCTGTATAATGATTAAATTGCTGTATATGATTAATACTGCAAAGTTTGATAGTATCAATCAGGTATCGATTTCAATTTCTGTAATATTTACATACTAGTCAGTGCTCATTCCGAGTCCTCAAATTTATTTAACTTTTGAACTCTTAATTATCAAATCTAAGTCAATTATCGCGACTGAAGATTCGAAAGAAAAGATTTAACAATTTGAAGCAAGTATCGTTTGTCATCTAATTTCATGTGAGATGAGTTAAAACATGACGTTAAATGTGATTCTCCACTTTTCGCAGTCATTACTGATCTGTTTTCCTGCTTACTTAGTTTGAATTGGTGAAAAAAAAATTGGTGACATGCTACTAGAACATGAAAAAGCACCCCTCTTGTTTGCTTATTGTTGTTTTTGTTTTTTTTGTTTTTATAAGGAGGAGAAGGAGGGGGGAGGGAGATATAATAAAATATAATATAATATTATATATATATATATATATATATATATATATATATATATATATATATATATATATATATATATATATATATATATATATATATATATATATATATATATAATTATATTTAGATGAATAAAAACAACTGATTAGCGGGACTTAAAGTTTCATGCCCGAAGGCAATCATCAGCCGTTAATACAAACAAAAAACGTAAACAAACCGTTACTAAAACGTAAAAATTACTGTAGAATGACATCTGACGTTATAAACAAATCTACGTAAAAAACAAATCAAAAAACAAAAAACAAAAAGCCGTTATAGCTTATTAGTCCCCTGTGTCAAATAAAGATAATAGGAATTTTTTTGAATGCCGACACTGAGATACGATTTCGTTTTTTTTATTCAGTAGATTTTTTCCATTATGCGATAAAATTACATATTTTTCGTAGAGACAAAGGTGGCATATTTTTGTTTCTAGATTGTAAGGTTTACAACGTTTGACAATTTTCCATTCTATAATGGGCTTTATGTTTTGGTCTTTTAAACTCCATATTTCCTTAGATAGTTCTGTGTCATTTCTATATTTAATTGATGCAAATGATTTGAGATGGTTTGCGTATCTTAGTTTAAATGGTGTAGTACTAATGCCAAAATATACTTTTTTATTACGATCATGATGACTGGAACTTACGCTTGCTTGATAGACAATATTGTTAGATAAACATTGATTGTTCAAAGGGCAAAATGCTTTATCTACGCAGTTACATTGGTTGGTTTTTAATTGATTTTTGTTGTGTAAAATTTTGGAATTATGCGAATTTATGATAGATTTTAGGTTAGGCATGCAACTGTAGCTAATCTTAACAGAATTTCGGTTGAATATTTTATGTAGCTTGTGACCGGCTGGAAAATGTAAGTCAATAAGGGCTAGAAAACGGTTTCCTATTTTTGTTTTGACGTTTAAGCTGAACGGAGGGTTATACCAAATAATATTACGTTTACGTTGCTTTTTTTGTTGATTTTGACTTGAGATTGTTTGTGGTTGGTAGGTAAGGTTCGATTTGTATCCCGATTTTTTTGAAGCCTCTTCATACGGTGGAATAGCCTTTTTGAAGAAATTTTCATTAATTGACATGGAAGATAATCTTTGTTCGATATTGCGAGGGATTGCTTTTATTATGCTTGGAGGGTGGTTAGAATTAGAGTGGATGTACCTTATTTGATTATCAGGTTTAAAATATGGTTGAAACGTACCGTTACTTAGATTTAACGTAACATCGAGGTAGTTAACAATTTTTAAATTAGATTGAATGGTGATTTGAAGATCGTTTTTTTTAAAAATGAGTGTTATGTGCTTTTTGATTTTTTCCATTTGCTGACCGTTTTTGTTCTTGAATACAGCAAGACCGTCGTCACGATATAAGCCGAAATCTTCTTTATTATAATGTTGTGAAATTTGATACAGTATGAAAATACCTATTAATTCGCAAACTTCAGCACCATCAAATGCCCCCATTGTTACAACCCACCTCTTTTTTTAATCCATGCTTCATCGTTGTTGAAGATAAGAGATTTTCTTGCATGCTTTATTAATGCTTTGTCTTCGCTTTTGATAACGATATGATGGTCAGCAAAATTCATAGCATTGTTGAGGGTGCTTTCCTTTATGGAAGGGTAAAAATCGTTAACATCAAAAACTAGGAATTTGTATAAGTGCTTATTGGTGATTTTTTTAAACCAGTCTAAAACATTTTGCGTACTTTGCCATTGATTCAAAAAAAGTTTATTTTTAAGTTCACAATTAATTTTTGTTAAGATGACCTTAGAAATTCGTCCTACCTCATTTTTTGAAGGGCTCAAAAGGCGCACAGATGGATTGTTAGCGAAGTTTTCCTTGTGATCTTTCAAAGTGAAAAAACAGTTAGAGGATCCGTTTATTTCTATTTTTTTATATACCTCGTGGTTGGTTAAAATTTGTTTTCCTTCTTTGTTTATATGGTCCTTTAATTTTGGATTTGTTTTTTTGTATGTAGTGGTAATAGCATTTTTTAACAGATTATTGTAATCTTCTTTAGACAGTTTATACATATTTGATGTTTTGTCAGCATGTGTTAGAGTTTTGTGAGATTTACGTATATTTTTGATATCTTTTTTCATACCATTTTGAAAAGTGTTGCGTATGTCTTGAAACTTTATTGATTTAATAAGATTGATTAAGTCTTTTTCGAAGAATGACATTTCTTTTATTTGCGGTGGACATATATGAGATCTAATTCCGTAGTTTGTATAATTGATATTGTCTTTAATTCTTAGATCGTTATTAATAAAAAAGAATGCTTTCCATCTCATTTTCTTTAAAAGTAATTCCGTTTTGTTTATTAATTTTAATTTAAAGTCTCTTTCTGACGGTATTGAAATGTTTTTTATTGAATAATCAAAGTTTATTTTTTCCATCGCGTTGACGACTTGAGTAAAGTGCTCAACTTTACGGAGCAAATATTTGTATAGATTTCGATATATAGAATATATTCGAGGTTAAGTATTTTGATGTAATAATACGAAGTCTCCTGTACGTGTTACAGTGCTCAATATTACTGAATAATAGAGCTATATATAAGCTATATATAGAGCTATATATATATATATATATATATATATATATATATATATATATATATATATATATATATATATATATATATATATATATATATATATATATATATATATATATATATATATATATATATATATATATATATATTTTTTTTTTTTATTCATCTAAATATAATTATATATAGCTCTATTATTCAGTAATATTGAGCACTGTAACACGTACAAGAGACTTCGTATTATTACATCAAAATACTTAACCTTGAATATATTCTATATATCGAAATCTATACATATATATATATATATATATATATATATATATATATATATATATATATATATATATATATATATATATATATATATATATATATATACACACACACACACACATACATATATATACATACACATATATATATATATATATATACATACATATATATGTATATGTATGTATGTAAGTACATACATACATATATATCTTATACTGCTGAGTTAGGTCAGCATGATGATGTCATACTCACCTAACGTCAATGTATACGTATATCTATGTGTTTGTGTATATACATAAAGTGTATTATTGAAAAATTTGATTTATAATTTTAATTGACTGCATCCATTTAAATGTTTTTCTTTATAATAACTTATTTGACTAAAAGCAAAAAATTTCTCTTAAATATATAGAAATTTGTTATGAATTAAAGTATTTCTTTGAATTTGAAAAATTATGACAGTTATGGCAATCACTTTCAATTGACTCGCACACAGGCACGGATAAAGGAGGGGGGGGATGCATTACCCCCCACCAGACTTTCAAATTTTTTTTTTTTTTTTACTCGAACAAGCGTTGTGATGGTTTCAATCAAAACGTTTTAAAACTTAATCAAATTGGCTGCCGTTTTGCACGTGAGCTAAGTTCCGGTATTTGTATGTTGAATCGCCTTGTTTTAAAATCGCCTCTATTTAGTATCTTAATATACTATGGAATATTAGTAAATATACTTAATATACTAAAAAGGCGTAAGATGACAGACTATTTTCAACGAAAAAAGTAACGGTTTTTTTATAAAATGTAAAAGTTTTTTTTAATTGTATTTTATTTGTTTATGTAAAGCAACTAAAGCTAATGTTGTCCAATCTCCACACAAAATGGGTTTTGTGTGGACATTTAACTTTACACTTCGCGCAACTCGTGTACTCATTTACACTAATAATTAGTGTGATAAAAAGTGACTAATTCAAAAATAAAAAGTGAACTAAAAATAAAAAGTGACTAATTCACGAATTCGTCTAATCCTGACTTACAGTAGCGGTGATGCTACAAAATGTTAGAAGGATATTCACCGTGTTCTTTTCTGGTTATGTATGTATGTATGTATGTATGTATGTATGTATGTATGTATGTATGTATGTATGTATGTATGTATGTATGTATGTATGTATGTATGTATGTATGTATGTATTTCAACACAGCAGTTGTAAAAAATATAAATGCGTTACAGAAAGTTTTTGCCCTTAAACATCAGACAGGTCTCTAATATTATAGAAAAAAATATTCTTCAAAAATGTAAAACATACAATGTATTTTAAATGGTTGGGTCTCAAAAAAAGCAAATATTTAAAAAATTATTATTATTTTGTATTTAGATTAGTTTACATTTTACTCCAAAAATCAATTTTTTTCACGATTTTTTAAAAGTCGATTTTTTTAAGAGGCGTTTTTATAAATATTATTATTTTTGAAATTTTTATAAAATTTTGGTTCTTTTAAGACCCAGCATGACATACTTTTAAAGATATTTTTCTATAATATTAGGGACCTGTGTGATATTTAAAGGTAAAAATGGTTCCCCAAGTCTCATAGTAATATTATATTTATAGGTAACAAAATGATTAGTATTAGACCAAACTTATTTTTACCCCAGCCTAATGTACACACACATATATTAAAGCACCAATATTTTTAAAGTAATGTGAAAAACTTACATAAAATAGATGTTAAGGTAAATATGTTAAATTTATAAATATGTTAAAATACTTTAAAACATGTTAAAATATGATAAAATATGTTAAAATATGATAAATTATTTTTTAATAACTTGTATTTAAGATATTTTATGAAAAATATACAAACAAATATTGAGGTTATTAGAACTTATTAGAAAATAAATTTTGAGGTTATTAGAAAAGCCATTTTGACTAAATTTCAGGTCAAAAAATGAACTCATAATAATCCAATTTGCTTTACAGTATTCTGTACAGTACTCTGTGAATGTTGAAGTTCTATTTTATTCAGTCTGATGATGTAGGCCATTTTACAACTTTTAACACCTTTAAAAGTTTAACAGATATTCAAAAATAGTTTTTTTTTTTATTTAAATTTTACAGAATAAAAAATAGATAGTAGATAAATATTGAACAGAAATACAACATTTAGACAAAATTCATTGCTAATTAATTTACTTGTATGTTAAAAATTTTTAAATCTTGATTGGTTGCTTTTAGCTTAAACATTTTGAAAATGTGCAAAAACTACCAATCAAGAAAAACAAAACAAAATGGAAATGAAAAAACATTAAACTTCTCTACACCCTGATCTTGAGCTCACCCTGGTACAGCAAAATTAGTATTAATATATATTTTTATTATTAATCTCAAAGCAACCTTTTATAACTTAAAATTATATTATTGCTGACTTTGTTATTAAAAAGCATTAACAATAAATTTTATAGAAACTCGTTTTAAATGAGCCTTACATAAAAAACTGTATTTAGTAAATTTAAAATTTAGTAAATTTAAAAAAGAAATTGCAGCAATAACTTTTTAATGTTTGATATCTATATTTAAAGTTGTAAAATGACTATTGTAAATAAAATAAAAATTAAGTTGATGTGAAAAATAAAGTTTTTATATGCTACAAACAATTTTATATAACTTAAAAATTAAAACTTAATACCTGGTTTTTAGGTGGATTAAATGAAAGCATTATTTCATTTACATTGAAGGACATTATGGCATTTCCATTTAATGAAACCACATAAGCACGCACAATGGTGTGAATTTCATTCATAAACTGTTGCATAAATAAACCCAATCCTCCTTCCTATAATGTCAAACACTCAACTTAAATCAAATGTTTAAAATAGAATTAAAAAACACATCAAATTTATAATAAATAATTGATAATAATCATACATAATTACATTATTATTATTGTAAAACATAAATATTATGATTATTAGTAATTATTGTAAAAAAACACTTTTCATATATATATATATATATATATATATATATATATATATATATATATATATATATATATATATATATATATATATATATAAAACAACTGACTTGGCTACCTCTTTTACACATGTGCTTTCTCTTATGAGGAAAATATTAACATTTCCAAGGTAAGAAGTAACTGACATATTCGGAATGTAGTCAAGTGTGCAAACAGTCACATGAGGCTGAAAACTTTTTTTCTAAGTATTCAAAAAGATTTTATGTAAACTTTCTTTTATATAAATAAAATTGTTTGTATTTCTCTTATAAATTACTATTTGTTAGAATTCTTAACTACTTTATTATTGGTTAGATATGATTTATGATGCTCAAACAAATGTTGGAATGATCAGTTTATTTTTTAAACAATAGATTTTAGATTCTTTTGTAATTTAATTAGTTTCCAGTTAGTGTTAGCTAACATACTTTAAACGCATCATTCAGAAGAAGGCTAAAATGTCCACGAGGCCAAGACGTTGAAAGCTTTAATGAAAACTAAACGAAGAATGGTTCATTAGTTTGTTAATATTTAATTTTACAATTAGTTTATAAGTTAAATATATAAAAATAATATAAATATATAACTATATATAATATAAATATATTTTTATATAAAAATATATAAAAAATATACTATTTTTATATATTATATATTTTAAAATTTAGTTTATAAGTTAAATATAGTTAAATATTTAAAAATAATATAAATATATAACTATATATAATATAAATATATTTTATATAAAAATATACTGTTTTTATATATTTTATATTTTAATGTTTAGTTTATAAGTTAAATATAATTAAATATATAAAAATAATATAAATATATAACTATATATAATATAAATATATTTATAAAATACAAAAACTTTTAAATTAAAACTATTGCCATTACCATACGTGAACTGCTTTCACACATACCAGCTAAAATATATATATATATATATATAATAATAAATATAAAACACACAAGCAAAATATAATAGAACCATGTTATTTATAAAATCATAACTTAATTCAATTAATAATCAATCATTTAAAAAAATATATATTGTCAATAAAAATTTACAATAGTGAAAGTAATGATTAACAACAACCTGAACTAATTAAAATTATTTAAAAATAATAATTTACTTTATTGGTTCTAAAGAGATTTGTATTTATATATATATGTGTGTGTGTATATATATATATATATATATATATATATATATATATATATATATATATATATATATATATATATATATATATATATATATATATATATATATATATATATATATATATATATATATATATATACATATATATATTTACACATAGTAAAGTATTCTACAATTTAGCGTACAATTAGTTAAAAAAACATTAAAATAATTTACCTTCTTTAATCAAATCATCACATACTAGAGTTTCTTCAGTCCATATATGACCTATCAAAGCAATTTTTTTTTTTACCAAAAACCTTCAAAAAATAAAAAACTATTTGGTATATAGCATAGAAGATAAGAAAATTGGAGCCATGTTAGCATGAGACTTGGAATTGATATATATTTACATATGCACTAAACACCTATAGACATAAAGTTCTCAGAATATTAAGATTGATTTGGATTGGTTTTAGTAGAACTGCAACAGAAATTTTAAAAGAAAACATAACTGAAAAAATAATTTTTTGTAATAAATCCATAAATAATAACCAGATTCAGGGCTTTGTTTAGTTTCAACTGCTTTCGGTTTGTTCTCCATTTCCACATTCCCAACAACAAAAGTTGTTAACATAATCTATATTGTACCACATAAAGATAACAAGAAATAAAACAGAAATAAGTACAAATCAAGAAAAACATTGAGTAAACTGGGAAAAAAAACTGAATAAAAAATTGTGGAATTAAAAAAAAAAAGTGAAGCTAAAATAAACATGAATTCTGATATAAACTCTATTTTTGTCTAATTACCACATTATTTCCTCCATGTTGCCAAGGAAACAATGTTCCCTTTTTCTTTAATATTTTATATTATTACCAACTTTTATTATATAAAATAGAATTTTTTTTTCTCAAAAATCAATTTCCTGAAAAAACAAACATTCATCGGTTCACAAAACCTTAAAAAAAAATGTAGATCTAGCTAAAATAAAAATAAAACAAAATATACTCTCTTAGAAAAAAATAAAAATTAATGCAAATTGGATAGAAAAATAAAAGATAATGGTTAACTGACATAAAAAAACTGTAAATTATGTGAATCAAAAAGCACAAATTCTAAACAGTAATTTTAAAAAAAAATTTAATTAAATATTTTAGAGCAAGTCAAAAAGCATTTTTCCATGTTTATTTAAAAATAAACATGGAAAAATTTCCATGTTTATTTAAAAAACTAGACGTATATTTTTAGAGCAATAATTGCAAAACTCAACTAAACATAAAAAAAGCTTTGCAAAACAAGCAATCATTGCTTTAAACATCCAAAATAGTATTTGCAGAATAAAAATAAAATTTTTACAATAATATGACAAAGGTTCAATACTGACTAAGGTCTGTTACCTCTGTGAATATGTTGACAAAGGTACCCAGAGGTCTGTTACCTCTGTGGCATTATCAAAACTAAACTTATTTTTGAATTTAAAAATAAACTTAATTCTACTGTATCTATAACATTTACTATAATCCCCAGTTTACTCAATAAATTAAATTATGCCCCATCTATCAATATCAAAAAAGACATATTTTACGTGAAAATACTCATCATCATCAATTCCCAAATAAAATGATGTGTTAATTAAACTGCACGGTATAAATGATCGCACTTTTAAACAAACGCCCTAACAAAAAAAAAAATTATTATTAAGATTTACTAATTAACATATATATATATATATATATATATATATATATATATATATATATATATATATATACATATATATATATATATATATATATATATATACAGTGCTTGAAGTGGAAAAAAAAAGTAATAGGATGGTGTTCAGTAAGTTAAAAAAAAAATATATATATATATATACATATATACATATACAAAATATATATATATATATATACACACACACACACACACACACACACACACATAAAAATCATAATCATAAGTAAAAACAGACTAAAACAGGTTGTTTGACCCCTTTAACTAGACTTTAAATTTAACCTCTTGTACTAGATTCCATAAAGCTCAAAAGTTTACAAAATAATTTTTAACATTTTTTATTAATAACTTAATATTAATTTTGAAATAAAAAAAAAAGCTTTATTCTTACCATAATTAAATTATCAAAAACTGATGCAAGCCATTGGCTCAATTTAAAACTATCATCTTGCAGTGGAATCTTGACACGCTTAAAGACTGTTAATAGCTATAAAAATTCATTCAAAATAGATATTAACACACTTTTAACAATATTTTAACAATACAACAATAACAATAAGATAAATATTATCAATATTCATCTTATTACAGTTCTGAATATGAGGAGTGGACTTGCAAAACAAGATAATGCAGAAATAATGACAAAAATTTTTTTTGCAAAAAATTGAGAAACTAAAAGCTAAACAGTATTTTGAAGAAAAAAAAAGTTTTTAATTTAATTTCTTTTTATAAAAATAAAACAATGTTTTATCTTGTGTTATAAAAATAAAACAATATTTTATCTGGTGTTATCTCAACAATCTCAATAATTGTACACCTTGTTAAAAACTTTTTAAACTTGTTGCCTCTCTTTTACTGCCCTCCATTTTCTTACATTCTCTAAAGTCTAGATTTCATTCTTTATTTGGATCTCTTATTCTTCCTTGTATAGGTTGTTGTCATATTTGTACTTGTGACAATACTGCTGATGAGACCTCACTTTTAGAAAAGGTCCAAAAACCCATTATAAATGTTGCTAGACCTGTTACATTACTCCGCAGCTACTGCTCCATTGTTGTAAGGTAGCATCTCTTTCTATTTTTGCATGCTATTATTACTTGTTTTATCAACTAAAAATCAATCTTCTGTCAATAATCATTCAGTAAAGTCACATTCTTTTACTGCAGCTACAGAAAACCTTTATTTGTCACATTGTTGCTTTGGAATTCTCTGATGTCATGATTTCATGACTCATGCTTTTTACAGTTTTTTTCTTGCACTTTCTTCACTTTCTCTTTTCCCAAAAATTACTTTTCTTAACTTAATTACTAGTTGCTTACAGCAATGCTGTAAAATGCTGTATAATAAATGCTTTACAGCCTTAAGCCTGGGAGTAAATTAAAAAAAAAAAATCAATCAATGCTTTTTTATACATTTTACTTGGTAAAATCATTTAAAATTTAATTTGATTGGGTGCTTGACCTTGTCTTGAAATTTAATATTAATGATACTTTTTGTCTGAATTTATTTGTTATAAATATTTGACTTTGTTCAAAGCAGATGATTGCATAAACATATCGATTTTGAACAATCAACATTTTTATCACTTTGTGTGCCTCATGACTACAGTAAGCATCTTTTGTTATTTTTTAATCTTTTTCACTTAGCTTTTATTTCTATCATTGCAATCCAATATTTCTTTTCTTTGATAAAAACTTTATCTTCAGATTCTAGTCAATTTATAACAAACTCCACTATAATATATACATGACACTCGGTAATTATTGCAAGACGATAGTCTATAAGTTTTTGTCTAATAGTTTTAATGCACTTATCTACTGGCCTACCTTCCCTGATTTATACACTTTTTAATGTGCTGACAATAAACAGAAAATTGTGTTTAAACTTTTATTTAATGTGATTTGTTTTACATTTATGTGTTGATGGCCATCAACACATTTATGTGATGCCAATTGCCATCAGAAATCTGCAAACTGATGTTAGCAGATTTTTGATGGCAATCCGCATCACATAAATGTGTTGTAAAACAAATCACATTAAATAAAAGCTCATCATGTTAGGCAAGCAAGTGTTACAGAAAGTATTTTATTTTTGTTTTTTTTAAATCAAAACATTTTCTGCTCTTGCCTTCTTCTTATTTGGTTTGTCTGATGCGCTTGAGCCAGTAATATTAGGATTGGATAAACTTATATATTATGCACTCACAACATACATTTATGAAGATCTTTAACTGAAACACAACCAATTTTTTTTACAAAATCTTTTTACAGTGTGGTAATTTACTCATTACTGCCTGGCTTCTCTCACTCCATATAAAACATTTTCTAACAGCTGAATTACTTTTAATTGTTAACTCAATAAACAACATGTTTTTTTTATTACATTTCTGTAAGACACAAATGGAAAAAGACAAACATTTAAGGCAAAGCAATAAATTAAAAAAAACTTTAATCTGTATTTGTTTTAACACTTACTATAAATTTTAAAATAAACATAAAATTAACAAGTAAACAACAAATAGTGTTTGCAATTTATTTGATAACAATATTAATAATAGTAACAAGAATAATTATAATAATAATAGCAACAAAATGAATAACTTTATTGATAATTAATAAATTAATGAAATGTAAAAAAGAAAAATTTGGTAAATGTTTTGAACTTACCTGTTTATGGTCATCAAACAAAGATTGACCAGGAGTTGCTTGTGTACTAAATATATTAAAACCTAAAAGAACAAAAGAATAACTTTGTAAGAGGTTCACTGTCTCTCTATTAAATTTTACTGCCTCGGTATCAAACATAAAAGTAAAATAAATGATGTAAAACAATGATTAACCTTCCTGGGGTAGAGGATCAGAAAACAAGGGCAATAAATCCATATCATTAAGATCATCTAGCTAAAAAAAAAATTAGAAATTAAATTAGAAATATACAAATATAAATTATAATATATAAATATAATAAGTCAATAATAAATCTTTGAATAAACATATAACTTGTTCAAAAAATTAAAATAAAATATTCTTTTGAAATAATGATTTAAATATTTATTTAATTTACAACTATTACAATCATTTATAATTTATAATTATAAATCATAAATTTGTATTTAAATTTGAGTTTAATCTATTGTTAAACATTCATTTATCTTATTTTCATTTATTTATATTTTATTTTATTTTTTATTTATAGATTTGAAATTTTTCTAAGTAAAATACTAAAATCTAAGTAAAATTACTAAAATTAACCTCCATAAAATACTAAAATTAACCTCCATAAAACTTAATTCTTTTCCATCACTAGTTATTGCTGATTTCCCAGTTTTTAAACTTGAGTTAACTGATTGATCAGACTATAAATAAATTTTAATTTAAAAAATCCATATAAAAAATCTATGTAAATTAAAATATTGATTTATAAAAAAAGTTTTTTTAAAAATTTAAAATATTGATTTACAAAAAAAGATTTTTTTATCAGATTTTTTCTGACGGTTTTAAAAATTTTAAAAGGCATTATCTCAGCACTGTTGCTAACTCAACCAAATGTTACCATCGGTTACATCAACCATCATCAACCATCAGTATATCAAATACATGCTTAGGTCAAAATATCATTGTTTTATACTCAAACCATTTTGGTCATTATGCACAATTAAACTGTAATCAACATAAAGACTTTCAAAATAGATCATTATAAAAATAAAAATATCTGTATACATTTGTATTTAGTTCTTTAAAACTATGATGTTGTTTTGATTCTGTTGATTTTTTTTTCGTATCAAAACTTTTCTCATTAATCTAAATAAGAGGAAAATAAGAGAAAAATGAAGAAAAAATAAGATAAATATAATACAATAAAATATGAACTAAAAATACATAATTATACCATATACCTAAATAGTATCAGTGGCGAAGTCAGCATAAGGCGGACCTAAATTACCCCTACTTCACGCTCTCTAATCTAGTCAACTGGCTCCCCCTCAAATATAAGTTTCTCATTACAAAATATATAATAATATATATATTATATAATATATATTATAGAATAAATTGCAAAATTATGAAATGGTTCAAACGTTATCTATCCAACCATAAACAATTTGATCTCAGCAATAATGATTATCCAAGTAAGTTTCTAAATATTTCATGTGGCATTCCACAAGGTTCCATTTTGGGACCACTATTGTTCTTGATTTTTATAGACAACCTAAATTAAGCCCAAAATTTAATGAGTTAAAAATCATGTTTGTTGACAACACTAACTTATTCCTTTCCGATAATGACATTTACAAATTCTTTTATACTATGAATGATGAATTTATATTAATTATATTATATATTATAAAGTATATCCAAACCATTTAAATGCAACAAACTAACTGATAACATTAAAAAAACAAATTGGGTTTATTTTCCACAGTCTCAAAAAAAGCTTATTTACTCCAAAGTTTGCCTAAAATTTTTTATTGATGAGGTTGAAATACAAAAGACATTATGTAATAAAGTTCTGTGGAGTTTTTTTTGATAAAAATATCATATGGAAAATGCATATCGACTATAATTGGTACAAAGGTTTCTGAAAATATTCAAATTTTATGTAAAGCCAGGACATATTTATGTAAAAAAAGTCTAACTTAACTTTATTACTCATTTATTCATAGTTATTTAAATTATGCTAATAATGAATGGGGAAGCAGTAAAAAGTAAGTTAAAATGCCTTTATAACCGCCAGAAACATGCGATCTGTTTAATAAATTTTAGAGATCGATGTGCTCATTCCAAACCATTTTTTATTGAAATGAGAGTTCTCAATATTTATGAGCTTAATGTTTTTAATGTTTTATGCTTTATGTATGTTATATATAATGTTTTTAATGTTTTATGCTTTATGTGTATGTGGAATAATGACATATCTTTACTCATTTTCAAAGATCTCTTTTGTTTCAAAATATATACCTATAAATAAATATACACTTAGAAATAGTAATTTTATATACAAACTCTTACGTCAAACCAAGTTTTATCAGTTTTTATTACATAACGCGCACCCTATTTTTGGAATAAAATTGATTTATTCAACTTTAAACTTTTTACTTTTCCCATTTTCAAATATAAACTGAAAAATTTAATTATCTTAATGGATGATGTAATTTTAATTTTTTTAATAAAGTTATTTTTATTAATTATTATAATTATTTTTAATTGTAACTATACATTTTGTTTAAAACTTTTATTGTAAAGACGTCCAACAAACATTCTGTACCCGCTGGAAATGAAATCTCACAGAAAAAAATTTGTATAAACTAGTAAGAAAGTAAATTTCTTTTTTTTATTGCTTGCTTTCAGTAATATGTAAGTAAATAAATTTTAATTTTATATGGATGTAAATATATTTTAATTTTATAAGTTTAAATATATTTTTAAACCTTTACAATAATATTTTTTCTTTTTAACAATTTTTTTAACAATTGTTAAACTTAGCAAACTTAAACTCAAGACTGCTTTTAAAGACTGTTTTTTTAAGTGTCTTTTTGACTGTAAAGAATAAAAACATAAAACTTTAGACTGTTTTTAGTGTCTTTTTGACTGTAAAGAATAAAAACATAAAACTTTAGACTGTTTAATGTCTTAAAAATCTGACTGTTTGACTGTTTTAAACATTTTTTTTTTTGACTGTCTTAAACATTTTTAAAAGTCTTAAAAGGCACATAAAAGCATCAATAAAATATATTTATAACAAAATGCGATTTTCAAAAAAAAAAATTTCAGTCGGTTATTATACCATCCCCAACCCCTGTCCTTCCCTACTCATTCCCCTAGCCCCTGATTCTCCATGACGCTAAACCTCAATCCGCCACTGAATAGTATACTCAAAATATAAATATAATTTATATATAAAAATATAAATGTTTTTATGTTTATTAATTCAATAAACATAAAAAACTTTATTAACAAAAATACATTACATTATTTTATAAAACATTAAAAACTATTATACCATAACAAAAATAAAAAGATAAAACAGAGTATTACAAGTTTAGTAATTAAAAAGATTTTTGGTTAAAGTAACGCAGAAATATAAACAATACCTTAGTATCAGTAAATGAAAACATTTTTGGCAGGGGTAATGCAGAGATATAAACAGCAGTCCCAGTCTATTTAAATTAAAAGCATTTTTTATAAAAGATTAAAAAAAAATCTTAAATGTCATCTAACAAACATCTAAAAACAAACAAACATCGAAATCTCATCTAAATATCAAACAATACAAAATAAAAGCAAAAAGATAATAAACATCTACAAAATATTAATTGAATTTAAAAGAATTAAAAAACATCAAAAATAATAAATGCACAATATAAAACAATATAACCATGACACCAATGATAGTCTGTTCAGCCATAGTTAAACATGTTGTCAGTCCAAATATAGCATTCATTCCTTTTAACTAGAAACAAAGAGATCATTCTTTTTAAATATTAGCATCTGTTAATTTTTGTCTGACATGTCAATTTAAGACTAAAATCCGTTATTGTGAATTTAACATTTTTCAATGTGAGTCTAGTATGTGTCAATGTCAATCTAACAAATAATAATATTATTAATATTAACAACAATAATGATAATAATAACATTAATAATAAAAATATTATTAGAATTAATCATTTTTTGAAAATTAAAAAGATTTTAACTAGATAAACAAAGTAAAACGAGTAAAGAAAAAAAGTTTTACATAAGATGTTTTATTGTTTTATATACTTGTAGAATAATTTTTAGAGAATGAGAAACAACCAACAATGCAATGATTATTTAATGTTAATAAAAGGGGGAATGGGGAGAGCTTGGGAAGTGGGAATTTTTTTATGATACAATATAAGTATTTTTTCAAAAAAAAGTTTTGTTTATAAATAAATAAATACTTTTTTAAAAATACGTTTAAAACTATTTAATTCTAGCATGGCTTGCGGTCAAATGCACATTTTCAAACAGCTGTTTTAGCATAATTTCAATAGGATTTAATATACTAAATCAAGATTTACTAGGTCAGCGATTTTTAAAGCCTATTTATACTGAAAGTTTTTGTTTTTACCGATGAATGAAAGAATTATTTTCTAATTTTTAAAGCCGATTTTCACTGATTTTTTTTTTTTAATTTTGAGATATAGTTTTTGCTGACAACAATGAAAAATTAATAAACAGAGAGGTGGACTTAATAAGCGTGGGGTGGGTGGGAAAATTTTCCAAAAATTAATAAACATCTCCCCCCCTCCCCTTCTTTATTATGGACTAAAGAGAAATATAGTTTATAAAAAAATTCTTTAATAAAATTTTTTAATTTAAAATTTTTTATTTTCAACATTTGTTTTAAGTCATTTAAATTTTTAATTTTAATGCTTTTTCACTTATTATCACTCATTAGGTATGCATAATATATATAAGATTTATTTGCTTTCACCGGCTTCACTTCACTTCTCAAAATAATTATCATTTATAAGTGTAAAAAGTTGCTAAAAAAACCATGAATTTTCTAGTATATATATATATATATATATATATATATATATATATATATATATATATATATATATATATATATATATATATATATATATATATATATATATATATATGTATTATACCCCTTTCATTCAGATTGACCATGAAACAGTCAGGTCAATCTGAATGAAAGGGGGGGGGGGGTAAACCTTTACATTATCCCTGAAGCAAAACAAAAAAAAAAGACTGACCAATTTGTCAAAGTTGCTTTTAGCTACATCACCAAATGTTTATTTTACTTTAAATAGAATTTTTGTACACTGTACACACTCGGTGTACTGAAGGCGATTTATAAGTTATTTGAATTCTTTTATATGGAATTAGCATGATTTTGTTAGCTTATTATGTCCAAAAAAGAGGTTCAGTTGCTATAATTTTTATTGCATCAAGTTTTTATAATGTTTAAAGAAACTTTTACTTTTTTTATATAATGTTTAAAACTTTTTTATTACTTATAATTGTGAATCTAAAGAACACCATTTTTGAGTCTTTAAATCTGCTCAACAGTATTAACTTAGTATTAGTTGAAAACTTTTGAAAAATAGATCCTAGCTCTAATCGGTTCTATCAACTTTCATAAAAAATATTAGAATTTCGACCAAGAAAATTTATAATTAAGAAAAATTGTCAATAAACGATCAGAACAAATCATTTTATTAAACTACAGTGTTCATTTTACCTAAAAAGGTATTTAAAATAAACAAGCGATTGTGATTTTAAGAAGATTTATTTTATATGATTCACAGACCTGATCATTTAGCAGAAATATGTTGTAGTCAGCAAAATATTATATGCATATTTTTTGTTTTTGTTTATTAATTTTTTGGTTTTTTAAGTTTTTTGTTTATCAATTTTTTAGTTTTTTAAATTTTTTATTTTGGTTATATATTTGTTGTATATCTTTCGTTCGTATTAGTTTTTTATGAAACAATTTTTTGTTATTATTATTGTGAGTACTGCTTGGATGTGTTGTCTGTCTTATTTGTTTTGAAATTTTCCTCTATTAATCTTTATTTTTGCCTTGACAACTGTCAAAATATGCTTTTTTCGATAAATAATTCTTCTTTATTCTAATGTACTTCATTTCTTCCCTAAGGTGTTCACTGCAACGTGACCATTCGGCAAATTTTATATACAAAGTTTTTAAATAATCATTTTAATTTTTTTTGTCTTATGAATCAGACCTAATCATTTACCAGGAATATTTTGGGTTACATTTTTCTATTGATTGATGAAAGATGTTTTATCGAGATGAATTTTATCAATTTTAAAAAAGCTTTTATGCTTTGGCCTAATAGTAATTTAAACTTTAGCAACCAGTGCAGACTTATACTCACCAGAGAATTACGGTAAATAAAAATATTTACAGATCTAAGATAGAAACATCATCAGATAAAAGAAACAACATTTTTTTCTTCTCAATTAATAATAAAGAAAAAAAATTGCAGTTCACAGGCTTGGTCGGGAAGCGGATGCGATCGCACTCGATAACTGACCACGGAAATAATATTTAGTTGTGAAAAATCGGCCAGATTTTTTAGTCGTTTTGAGAACATTTGAATTTATGTATGTTTCTTTAATTAAGTTCATTATTTTATTGTAAATTTTTAAATATTTTGTTTACAGACATACATGGAAACATACATAAACTCGAATGTTCTCAAACGTCTTTGTGCGGAAAAAAAAATAAATACAAAAAACCCACCAAATCTACAAACAACTAATTCTATTGGTTCAAAAAATACTAACCGAAATTTCTAGAGTATTCTCTTGAAATATTTTAGAAAATTGTATTATTTGAGTTTTGTTATGATTTCGTTGAGATTTCTAGCATAAATTGTTTTATGAATATACTATCAAACGAACTATTATTTTAATTTTTGGAGCTACATCTACAAAGCTATAAATGTTTTAAACTAACATTATTTGTTTACAAAAATAAATGTTTTTAATTTACTAACTTTAATTATTTTTGCTTCAGCCATTCTTACAAACTCGTTATACTTAAACTCAAAGTTAATTTTTTCTGTTTTAAATACTAATTAAAATTATAAAGCCTACTAAATAAACATCATCAGCGTTATTGTGAAGCAGTTCCACTTCCTCCTCACTTAGTAATTTAACATTTTTAGTTAATTTCTATTTAGCTAACTGAACTTCTACAAAAAATCAATGATTTAATTATTTCATTTGTTCATCTTTTAAGATATTTAACACATTTAAAACAATTTTTCTTGGTATACTAAGAAAAATTGTTTCAAATGTGTTAAACTTTTTAAACTACGCGAAGCATAAAACAGTTATTGAAAAAACTTTTTTATTTATAAATAAATCATCAAACGTTAGTTTTATTAGTTGAATCTTGTTGGACTTTTCAGGGACTGCATTATTTTGGCAACCTTTATTATATGCCACAGCATAAAAATAACTGAAAAAAATAACGAATGGTCTACTTGACTATTATTTGTGGCCCCTAACATTGAGAGTCCTGAGGCTATAGCCCTTCTACTCCCCCCCCCCTTCTCAATCCAGCACTGGAAATAAGACAAGTATATAAATAAAAACTATATATACTCTTTGACAAATCGGAGAACATTTGTTTCCTCATTAAACAATCATTATTAGTAAGTTGTTACTTTATATAAAAAATGTCACTTAATTTTATAAAAAAAATTATAAAAGAAAACGTTTCAAAAATATTTGCTCTAATCGGATTTATTTCGCTTTTGATGTTTCGCGTTAAAAGACATTTTTCGCTGTTTTTTCGCGTTAAAAGCTATTTTTCTTTTTTTAACTGTCTCTCATCGGTCCAGTTAATCTTATTGCGCTTTTTTGTTTGGATTTGAAATGTTCTCAAAACGACTAAAAAATCTGGCCGGTTTTTTGCAACTAAATATCATTTCCGTGGTCAATTATCGAGTGTGATCGCACCCGCTTCCAGACCAAGCCTGGGTTCATAAAAAAAAACACTTTAATAATTGAGAGATGTTTACCTTAAGTTTATTGATCATCTGCTGATGTAAGTCAAACTCTATAAATGGAAGAATCTAAAAAAACATAGGTAATCATATTTTATCTTCAAAATAAGTAATCATATTTTATCTTATTGTTCTTTGAGTACAAACAACTTTTATTAAACTAAAACATTTAACTATTAATTAAACATTTTATAAAACTTTTAATTTTCATTTTTTATTTATTTAATTTTTATAAAAGTTAAAAAGATCATTTAACAAATATAACAAATATAAAAACAAAAATAAAATTAAAATATAAAATTACCTGCCCCACATTCTCAGCATTGGATTCTTCTTTATCTTTTTTTTTACATCGTATTACACTGCAATTTATAAAAAATGGTTGCATTAAAAATCTTTATTTACTAATACAGAAATCTATATATTTAATAGTAATATTAAAATAATAGTAAAAAAAATAAAATAATAGTAAAGCAAAAATATAAAATACAGAAAAAATATTTATGAGATTTTTCTAAAATAAAAATAATTTTTTAAAATGTACTTAAATGTCAACTAAAAAAAATTCTTTAAAGAACAAAAAATCTGACCGTGCTTGAATCATACAGCCAGATCCTATAATTGGTAGATCTTCTGGTAATTCAATGGTTGAAAGTATGACATCAGGAACTTTGTCTTGCCTAAATGTAATTTTTTTAATAGTCATGTCATAATAACTTATTAGCTGTCTAGCCTGTAAAAAACGCGTCTTAGTAAGTCTATTGCACACTGACCGTTTGTATACTTAATTTTTACTTCAATATTTTATAGAAGGCTGTAAAAATGTAATTATTTATATACAGTGTCTCAAAAAATTATCCAAACAAACATTTTTAAAAATATTTTTCCTAAAAAAAGTTTTTTTGTATATTTTGACTTTTTTGGTAAACTCAAGATTAATAAAAATAAAAAGAACAAAAAAAAAAAAAAGTTTTTAAATAGATTTTATTTATTTTAGTGTAAAGTATGAATCACAAAGTTTTCAGTCTTAGAATAAAGGAACTTAGGTCGTTTTTTTATTGTCAAAAAAATATTCGACCAAACATATTTTTTGTTCTATAATAAGTTATTAAATAACAAAACAATTATTTTAATACTTTGTAGGGCCTCCCTTTGCTTGGATTACAGCTTCTAGACGTCTAGGCATTGCTTTGACTAAAGATTTTGTTTCTTCTGGTTGAATCTTTTTCCAGGCTTCTTTAATTGCCACTTTAAGGTTGTCTTTTTTGGAAAATGATCGATCTCTGATTTTTGGTCTAAAACTTCCCACAAATGTCCAATGGGATTAAGGTCCGGTGATTGTGCGGGCGGATCCAAGACCTCAACATTATTTTCAGCAAACCACTCCTTGGTTTTAGTGGCACTATGCTTGGGATCGTTATCTTGCTAAAATGTAAAATCAGATCCTAGCCAAAGTTTTCGAGCAGATGACTTCAAATTTTGCTTTAAAATGTTTCTGTATTGCATCTGATCCATTATAGTATCAATAAATTGGAGTTTTCCAACACCCTTCCCAGCCATTGAACGTGATGATATGGGGATATCATCACGTAACCACCACCATACTTGACAGTTCTTCTCACGCAGCTCAATTTGTAGGCTTCTCTGGTATTTCTCCAAACTTTTTGGGCTCCATCAGATGACTTTAAGTTGAATTTTGATTCGTCGCTCCACAGGATCTTTTTCCAGAAACTTAACAGCATGTTTTTGAACTTCTTAGCAAACTCCAATCTGCATCATGTGTTTCTTACTCAAATATGGTTTATTATGTACAAGTCGTCCTTGAAATCTCTGGCATCGGATACGATTTCTGATTGTCTGATGGGATAATTTAATTCCATAATTCTCTTTAGCTAGCTCAGCCAGTTTTCAAGCAGAAATGAAGCGTTTTTTTTTACTTGTATAATTAAGTTTCTATCAAAACTCTTAGAAGTCTTATTTTTGGCGACCCTGTCCTTCTTTTGTGGCTGTTGTTCCAATCAAATTATACTTCTTCATTATGTTGAATATTATAAAGAATTCAAGTCTGCACCTGACGATAGGTTTTACTCTGATTGACTAGATCGACAGCTAAATTTCTCTGAGAAACAGTCCAGTCCAGTCCAGACAGTCCAGTCCAGACAGCTAAATTTCTCTGAGAAACAGTCCAGTCCAGACAGCTAAATTTCTCTGAGAAACAGTCCAGTCCACTTAAAAAAATATGAAACCTTTTTTTTATACAAAACTTTTTTTTTTACTACAAAAAAAGTTTTGTATAAAAAAGTTTCTTTTAGGACAAATAATAAACCAGCTGAAGCATGAATCAAAAAATATGCTAAATAACATACTATTCCCAATAGAATTAAAATGACAGACAAAGTAAGTATCGCTATTCATTGTTTTTAGTATAATTTAGAGTGTAAACATTTTTTTTTGTGAAAAACTTGTTTGGTCGGATAATTTTTTGAGACACTGTATATAGAAAAACTATAAATATTGTCTACCTTTTAAAACTATGAAAAAAAAATTTATTATACAAATAACTTTAAAAAAACTTTTCATGTCAAAAACGCATGAATGAGTAACACCAGCAGCAGCGGCAGCATTAAATTATATAATATATAACAGATTGTTATATATTATATAATTTAATGTTATATTTCAATATTAATATATAACAGATTGTTGCATATCAAAATACATAAAATCATACTTGCACAACAAACACCGTGATAATGTAACTGGTAAAATAAAGTCAGCATCATTGTATGGAACATGGCAAATATTACAACTTGGAAGTGAAGGTTGTGAACTTGATATAACAGAAGATGAGTCAAATTCATTTTGTCTTTGTATTTTTCTATAACAAATCAAATTTAATTAAATAGTAAAATAATAAAAATTAAATAGTAGTAAAATTTAGTAAAATATTAAAAATTAAAAATATACTAAAATAAATAAAAATTAAAATATATATATATATATATATATATATATATATATATATATATATATATATATATATATATATATATATATATATATATATAAATTATATAAATAAAAATTAAAAATATATTGATTATTTAGCCATTTTATATGTCATTTGAAAAAATAAAAAAATAAAAAAACCATTACATTAAACAATAAAAAACCTTCATCAAAAATTAAATAATTAAAAATTGAGAACCCAGAATTTAATCTATTTAAAGATTTTTTACACTTTTTTTTATTGATTAGGTGAATGACTTTGCTTGAAAAATTTAATCCAGTCAAAAATAGCTTCTTGTAAAAATGAATTTTAAGAAATAAATACTATATAAAACTTATTTTTACTATTATAACTACATAAAAACATAGTGTAAAAAGAAAAAGATTTGATAAGTGATTTTCTACTAATTTATTATAGCTCTGTTCTTTTAAGAACATTAAGAACTCTATTTTGTAGAATACATTTGAAACTATTTATGTATACTATTGTATATATATATATTATAAATTGTATATATTATATATAGTATATATTGTACATATTTTTAATTATATAATATTACAGAAAACAAAGTTTATTATTTACGAAAAAAATTTTATTAAATTATTTTTTCAACTCAGAAAAAAATAACAACCTAGCTTGCAGTAATTTTTCATTAAATATAAGAATACCATCGACTGATTGTACACTACCAAGTCATAAAAGATTAGTAAACAGTTATTAGTTAATCACAAAACAACTTGAACTTTGATTAATAAAAATTATATTTAATTAAAAAAAAATTTTTAAAGCTGATTGTAGAATATTATAACAAATATACTTTACACCACATTAGACCAAAGAACAATGAAACAAACAAACAAAAATCTCGCTATCATGTTATCAATTTTTTTGACATAAGTGTAATTTACATACTTGTGTAAGTTTTCTTCTTCAAGTGGTTCCAAACTGCAATAAAAATCACCTAAAAATTATTAATAAAAATAAAAAAGCTAAAATTATGCACCACTGAAATTACAAAATAATGTAAGATTTACAAAATAAAAGACATTTTTCAACAGTGGGTGGTTTCAACAGAGTGGGTTTGTTGCGAGTTTTTTCTTTGAATTACAACAGAGGAAACTATTTTCATGAGTTATTTATTGTTGAAAATTTTTTAGAACTTGTATCATCAAATAAATATTGAAATAGTCACACGGAAGCGTTAGACTAAAAATCAACTGAAGGCATTAACATAAGGATGAGATAAGAGAATATGAACAGTAAAAATACAAACTACTCATTGTAGGGATTGTCGTAAGATTCACCCTACAGTTCAAGAAATCGTTCTGCTTTGCTATTTCTTTGCAACCATTCCACCTCTTTTTTAAGTAATTTAATATGTTGTTAACAAAATGTAAAGTAGTAAAACAATTGAACATATTGGTTTTTAACTAACAAAATTTATAATGCTTGAATCATACTAAGAATCAGAAAAGAAATTTTATAACATATTTTTCTTTACAAACTACACTATTCTTTGGATAAAACAAAGTGGCTATTCAAAAATTTGAGAGAAAAATCAAAAAATTTCAGAAAAATAACTCTTTTTTTTTTAAAAAATTCAAAAACTAACTAAATATTTTTCCAAAAACTTCAAAAATGAACTATAAATATTTGGTAACATACTTAATATTAAATATAATTACTTAATATAGAATTAATTAATTAGAATTAATTAATTAGAATTAATTAATTAGAATTAATTAATAGACTTAATAAGTCAACAATTCTTATATTATTCTCTCGGCAGGCCTTCTTGATTTGTTTAAATAGTTTGTCACTAAAGCATGTCGTTAAATTCAGAACAATAAATTTCATTTTAAAACTTGTCACTAACACATTTAAATTTTTTTTTTTTTTGTGCATAAATACAGTGAATGGTATCATAGTAACATAATAGTGATGATAGTAATAATTAAAAACATCAACAAACGAGTCAAAATAATTCTCATTCACATGCTGAATGGGTGTATGCCTCCCATTCAGCATACCACATGCTGAATGGAAGACATTTCCCATTCAGCATAACACATGCTGAATGGAAGAATTTCCCATTCAGCATGTGGCAACTTGACATCTTTCATGATATCTTTGTAAACAAAGCAGTCCATAATTCTATAAGACGCATCCCCAAACCATCGGAGATATTTTGTAACAGTTAACACTCTTCTTGTTATATTTAGTATTATATCTGGTGTTCTTTGGTCTCTTGATTTGCTTCTTGCTTCCAAAAAGGTTATATTTTGATTCATAACTAAAAAATATATTTTTCACTGGTCTATTTTGGTGTGCTTTGGCAAACACAAGTCTTATCTTTGTATTTTTAAAAGAAGTTGTATGTATGGCATTTGAGAAAATAGTTTTGTTTAGTTAGCTTTTTTGCACAGCGTGATTAGAGATTTGTAATTTAAGTTTTTCTGTTAAATATTTGGATGACAAATCCACAAAAATCTCTTTTAACCTCTTTAACAACTCTTTGATTTAGTCTTTGTGATATTTTCTTTGGACGTCTGCCCTGATGGTTTGTTTTATAGCATTAACAAGATCAAAATGATTTGACAGCTTTGCTTACAGTTGACTTAAATTCTATGAATTTTAGCTTGACATTTATTTTTATATATTTTCATGTAAAACACATTAATTTTTCCTAACCCATTTTTAAATAGCAATTTTTTATGCGATATTCCACAATTTAAATATTTTTTTAGTTTAATTGAAAAAATAATAGATCTTAACTAATTATTCAAAAATTTTATTATTTTAAAGTTATGAGAAAATGTTAATTATGTTATGATAAAAGTAAAAACATAAGAATACAATAAATTGAATAAAGACAATCAAATCTTATAAAAAATGCATTATTTTGATTTGGTTATCTTGTTTTGTCCAAAGAAAAATGTAGTTTCTTGAAGAAAATGTAACCCTTTTTTGTGATTCTTAGTATAGTTCAAGCATTTTAAATTTTGTTAAGAACATAATAAACTGTTTGATAATTAATATGTACAATTTTTTTACTACTTTTTTTCAGTTTTTGTCAACTTTACATCTAAATTTGAGTTTGTCCACCATACTTTGTTTGATACTGTAACAACAAGATATAAACATATTTATTTAAGGGTGTGTAAACTGTAATTTATGACAAACAAATCCGATCATTAACTGCAATTTATGACAAATATATCCAATCATTAACTGTAATTTATAAAGAATAAAAAATTATCTGTACTTTTCAATTTTATTCTTATTTATATGCAGCTCAGCCACTAATTCAAAATGAGTCATATTATGCTGTATTAAACTGTAATATGATAAAACAACTTACACTGTATTATGATGTACTAAAGTTTAATACCTTAATACTGCTAAAACTTTATACTTTCATATAATTATTTAATGATAAATTTATACTTTCATATAATTATTTAATGATAAATTTATATTTTCATATAATTATACTTTCATAATTATAATGATAAAAAAGTACAAAGTAGAGTTAACTTTTGTTTCTCTACAAACACTATTTAAGTTGAAAAAAACAAGACTACAACAACTATTTAAGTTGGGAAAACAAGGCTACAACCACGATTTAAGTTATGTGTTAACAGAAAATAAAGAAAGCTAAAAAGTAAGAAAGCCATTTACTATAATAGTATAAAAAATAGAAAGAAGTAATAAAGTAAAAAATAATAAAAGTATAAAATAAAGTATTAAAGTTAATGATAACTTTTAAAATTATTTTTCAGCAAATATTAATGTATATAACATTAAAATCTTAAAACATAATAGTATACTATATAAATATATTATAGATATTATAAATAAGTACTCAAAACAAAGTATATTCTAATAACTATATAATAAATAGTATTATGAATACAATCAATTTTATTATTTATTAAAATCATTTAAATAACACTATTTAAATTTAAATAACAACTATTTAATATTTTCATAATATATTTTAATATTTAAATTATATTTATATTTTAATTTTCAAACAAACATAAAAAAACTAACCCTCATGCCGATCATCAGACAGCTGCAGTGTAGCTGCTGTTCCATATGCAGTCAGAACTGCCAAATCATCACTAAAAGAAACTATATTGTTTATATATCAAAACTATTTTTATTTTTATTTTATATGATTTGATTGTTATAAAAACAACAAAAATTGATTATTGGAGTTGAATATCAATAAATTCTTTTGAAGCACAACCTATATTTTGTATTGATGTAGAATTCACATCAATACAAAAATCTTCAGTATATTTTGCTGATGCAATCAATTTGTATACTTAATTTATTATACTATACATACTAAACTTTTTTTAATTTATTTAATTTATTATACTAAACTTAATTTATTATACATACTAAACTTATTAAATACTAAACATCAGTGTAGAAAATGCTGAATTTACTGTAAAATGTAAATTCCATATAAATATGCAATAAATATATATTTCATATAAATATATAATAAATATATATTTCATATAACTATACAATAGTGCTCCAAAGTTTAGCTCCCAGCAGAAAAAAAATTACTTTTTTTCTTAAAAACTTAAAAAATAGAAAAAAAGATAACAAGTTTTAGTTATTTAAAACACAAAATTTATTTTTTAGAATATTTAGAACATATTAAAAGAAAAAAACAATAATAATGAAAAAAATATATTACAATTTTTGGAAGAATTTAATTATGAATTAAAAAAAAAAATAGCTGTTCATAAGTTTAGCATGCTCGGCTTTGAAGTTATTTTTAGGCCGAACCTTGATAAGAAATGTAACCACCTATTTTTTATGCATACTGTACATCTCCTTCTTATAGAATCAAAAAGTCTATGACGATATTCAACTGTCAAACAGTTAAACAACTCTTTTAAACTTTATTTTTAACTGAAGATACTGGTTCTTTGATAAGTTTTTAGTCCAACACAGTCCAAATATTTTAAATTAAATTCAGATCAGATGATCTAACTGCCACTGAAGTACCTTGATATTGTTTTGCTCATACCATTCTGTTACAGATTTATGCATTATGACATGGAGCGTGTCTTGTTAAAATATCTATTCTGGCTCGTTTATACTTATCATTTATAATCAGACATTTATATTTATTATTTTTTTCATTGCGGTGCTTTTAAATAATTACTTTGTTTTTATGATTTAGGACGGTTAGTTAGATGCATCACTAAAAACATTTCTTCATTTACAAAGATATCATGGAAGATGTTAAGTTGCCACATGCTGAATGGGAGTTGTCTTCCATTCAGCATGTGGCATGCTGAATGAGAGGCATACACCCATTCAGCATGTGAAAAACGAAGATATACGTCACCAGACAAAAACTAATAAAACAAAAAACCGATCACAAAATAAAAAATATACTAACAACAATGAAAGGCATTTAATAATGAAAAAAAAACATTAATGCTAATGCATAAACATAATTTGAGTAGTGATAAAAAAACTATTTGAACAAATCGAGAAGACTGGCAAGAGATTAATATAAGAATTGACTCATTAATTGAGGCTATGCCTCGCAGAATGAAAACAGTAATTCAATGTAATATTAACTATGTTACCAAATATGAATTTTCATTTCTTAATTCATAACTTTTAACAATCTTTCTTAATTCATAACTACTAATTTTTAAAACTGCTTTGCAAAATTTAAATTATTTTAAATAGTCTGTTGGTTTTAAATAATGGTTTTCTGGTAGCAACATAGAACCATAGGTTACGATCCATTAATGTTATACTGTTTGTCTTGATATTTGATTTTTAAGTACCAGGTTTATTTCTTGTGCAATCTTTTTTGCTAAGTATTTAAAAATTTTTATGGCAAATTTAGAAATAGAATTATCATCAGTGATACGTGTCTTTCTTGGTCACCCACAACGCTTTTAGTCAGCAATACTACCAGTACCACCAGTATTACCAGTTTCATTAAATTTAGTTCTACTTACACATGATGGTGACTTTAAAAATCGAAAGGTTTCAATATTAGAGTCACCTCTCATATTAAGACCAATAATATCCTATTTGATTTTTTTTTCCATGGGAAGTTATCAGACTTTAATTTTTATTATTATTATTATCTTTTATTATTATTAGTTAGGCAAAAATGATGAATTAATATAAAACGAACTTTTAAAATACTATATATTACTTCAAATATATTTTTGTAATATTTCATTAAAAAGGAGAGTTTTATTTACTATCACGAAACTTTATTTACAATAAATTTATAAAAACTTTCTTAAAAAGCTTTAAGGAGAGCTAGTGTGCTAAACTTATGAGTAACTTTTCTTAAAGCTCAAAACACTAATTAATGTATGTACTTAAAAAAAAAAATGCGCCTAAGCAAAACTTTCTGTCTTATTTTATCATTTTATTTTGTCTAGTTAATAATTAGAAGAAAAGATGTTTTTTAAAACTTTTTACCGACTGAAAAAATAATATATATGGAAAAAAAACTAAACTTTTGAGCACTATAATATGTTTCATATAAATATAAATTTCTTTTTTTTTTAAGTTTATAAACTTAAATTTTTAAAAATCTTTCAAACTTAAAAAATATTTCTTATGATTTTGCCAAGGAAGAAAAATAAAGAAAAAAGAAGACAGTAAAGCAAGTAGTTAGAAAACTAAACAAAAATAAAAAATAAAATTTAAGATTAGATAAATATTCTTAGCAATTACTCAATTCCTTAAAAACATATAAGAACTCAGCTATAGGGTGCTTTTGTCTATTAGATGTGACAGTTTGTAGACTATATGTAAACCCAAGAAAAACATGTCAATAACAATCCCAATATTATGAGCCAAAAATTAAATTTATATTTAAAAAACAAGAAATTAATTAGCAGATAAAAACTGACATCAACCTAATTCAATATTGCAAACAATATTTAATTAGGTTGATATTCAAATTGAATTAGGTATTGATATTATGCTAATATTAATTGTATGCTATTAAACAAAAAATTTCAAAAAGGCAAAAGATAAAATAAAATGGAAATAGGTATGGTATTAACAATACTGTTGAAACTACAAACAATACTGTTGAAACTACAAACCATATAGTAGAATATTCAGAATATCCTATTACTGCATTACACCCAAAAGTCTTAGCATTAGAACGGATTTCTGTGCGCAACTCTTTCCACCAACTGTCTCTAGTATCAACTTCCTCTTAAAACAAATTTCAATAATAATATTCAATAACAATATTCAATAACAAATTTCAATAACAATAGTCAAATACAAATTTTTTTCTCACGAGCAAATTGCAATTTACTAATTTACTTTATTTTTGTAGCAATTTTATATGATTGACACAACTATTCACAATTTTTAAATAAAAATACAGATAGAAATAAAGTGCCAATAGAATCAAAATACAAGTAAAACATGAATATATAACATCAGTTTAATGTTATGACCAGTCATAATATATATATATATATATATATATATATATATATATATATATATATATATATATATATATATATATATATATATATATATATTATTTTTAATTTCAAAAAACAGAAAGTAAAAAATAAAAACCTGAATTAACTTTATTTAAAAGTTTGACTGATAGAGATGAAACCATTCCTCCAATGCGTTGTATAAAACCTGGGGGTGTTTTTTTTATTGTGTAAAATGGAAATACCTAAACAAAAGCATTCATTTAATAGGATTATTTAGAAATTAAAAATATAAAAACTTTCTCGCTTCTGCTTGCTTCAACATGATACATATAACAAACTTTTTTAATAACACATTTTCAAATTTATTTACTAACATTACTTAATTTGATAATCTCTTTATTTTTACTTTTTTTTGTGGAGAATTTGTTGTGAATTGTGGAGAATTTTTTTTGTGGAGAATTTGCTTATCTTTATTTTGCCATGTACAGAAAGATTTATGAACTTTACAATGTTTCTAAACCAGGAATAAGTTACAATATCAAAAGATTTTGTCAGTGGAAAACCTTCGAAAACCTTCGAAAACAAGCCTCACACTGAAAAACCTCAAGTTACAACTGAAATGACCAATAAACTATTGTTTAGATCTTTTTTACTAAATAAAAAAAAAAGTTAGACAGGAATCTTTCAAAAATGATTCTTGAAAGATTCCTGTCAAACTTAAACTATGCGCTAGTTTTACGGTGGGCTAGCTTCAAAACAGTATATATTATGCAAGAAATTTGAAAGCTAGAATAAAATTAGCAAAAGATCATATTAGTTAGTCAGTTAATAACATTCCTCACATAAATTTAAACTTATAAACATATGCAACTATGGACAACTAGCAAAAAACACTACAAATTTTTGTTTTTGAAAACTTTTGCAATTTTTTATTACTTATCTATAACTATTAATACTCAATGACTAGAAGATGATCATGTGACCTATGAATAGAAGATGATCATGTGACCTATGAATAGAAGATGATCATGTGACCTATGACTAGATGATGACCATGTAACCTACAACTAGATGATGATCGTTTTAAAATTTTAAAATATTTAATAAGATAAAAAAATAAAGGGTGTAAATTATGAACCTAAATACACAAATGGATTAAAAAAAACACTAAAAAATAGTGGGAATTCATTCAATATCAAGAAATAAAAAAAGGTTGGGATGGTTTTTAAGATTGATGGAATCTCAAAAATTATTAAACATATATAAAAAATATTTAAATAGAATTTAATAAAATTCATTTTTATTAGTAAATTCATTAGTAACACTTGGTACTAACTAAAAACAACTAACAACTAACCACAACCTATCGTAAAAAACTTCAACTTTTTTTATTCCAGCAATATTTTGGAACAATTGATAAATGAATTTTATTTAACATTGTTTAAACTAATTCTATGATCAACATTTCAACTATTTTATTTCAGTTTGATTATCAATGGTAAAAATATCTTGAGGTTATTCTTAAAACATGTTATAAAAACAAAAATGTGCACAACTTTATATAAAAGAAAAACGAAACCCTTTTAGGTTTTGACATTATTCAAGCAAATATCTTGTCTACAAAATAAATTAGTATGATAAAAATATATAAATAAAAATAAAATAAAAAATGTATTTAGTGTATAATAAATACAAAAATAAGTTAAAATACACACCATTTCATCTATAGAAGATTTTGTCTTTTGTAAAATTGTTTTCATTTCAGATCCCTCAACTGTTGAAATATAAAATTAAAAAATACAAATAAACTTTAAAAACATAGTTTTTGTATTTCATAACATATATATCAAATTTAATGTCAAATCTAATTAAACTAGGCTTCTTAGTAAGTACTTGCCAAAAAAAATTTTCAATTTGGTTATTTAAAAAAAAACACAAAAAAACTGTATGATTTCAAAAGTTTTTAATTTTTTTTTCATTCTAAATGAAGCAGTGGGGTGGGTTTGTAATATTTAGATGTTGAAGCTGGTAAAAGCAGGTATGGTAACAGTATCTATGTATAAATATGTTACAAAAGCAATCAAAACAAAATTTAATGTGAATGATAATTAGTGTGCATCAGAGTTCAGTGCTTAGTCTATTGCTTTTTATTATTGTTTTGGAAGCTCTCTCTCTCTCAAAGATTTACGATGGGAACTATGCCAAAATAGTAGTATATAATGTTGCATAAATATAATTTTGTGCAACATGTTGCACGAAAAAGTGATACTACTCTGCAAAAGAACAAAAATCAAAAATTTAGTATCAGCAGCCACAAGGAAAAAAAGGAAATATGTCTTTAATAACAACTACATAGCAAGGTGTTGAAGATTTAAAATGAATGTGTAAAAAAAAGGGAAATATGCTTTTTGATTGCTTTTGTTATCAGTTAATGCTTCAGTGGTTATCCACTGAAGACAAACAACACTGCTACCAACAGGTAAAATGCAAAGGCAAATGAATCCATTTTGTAACTAAATATGTAAAACTGCAAGTAAGGAAATTCACACTTCAAAGAGGTAACTGCTGAATAAGCCTCAACATCAAAATCATGTATCTAGTGCTAGGATAAAATGATAAGGGAGGGGGGGGGGGTACTCATGACTTAAAAGACTCCCAGCTTTAGGACTCTTATTTTAAGCCTCAACATCAAAATTAACAATCATAAAACTACAACCATGTATCTAGTGCTAGGTTATCTTTTTTATATTCATAATCTGCAGATAGTGAATATAAAGAAAATCAGAGTGCCTACCCACCAATCAGAAAATAAAAAAACAAGTAAGATAATAGCACCCCCAATCAGAAAATACAACAAAATAAAATTAAAAGCAACTTGGTTGTTTTTAATTTTATTTTGTTAAATGGAGTTCAATGATTAATGCCATTATGGTTGCTTTTAATTTTATTTTGCTTTTAATTTTATCTTGGTTGCTTTTAATTTTATTTTGTTAAATGGAGTTAAATGATTAATGCCACTATGTGACAATTGCTAGCAATTGTCACATAATGGCATTAATCATTTAACTCCAAGTCAAGCAGCAATTTATAAGTCAACATTTAAAAAACTAGAAATACTTTCAAATCATATGAAAATGCAACTTGCATCTTCTATTGCATAGATCTATACATTTTGATGGTAAGTTCATTGGGGGAAGTGAATATTAGGTTGTATTAAAAACCAAAGATCCAAAGAGAACTTAAGGATTGAATTTAACGATAGCAAAACTTATTGCTTTTAAAACTCCAAAAGTTCTTAATGAATAAGACAACTTATAAAATTCAATAAAGATTGATTAATCTGATGAATGATCATTGTTAATAGAACCAGTGTCAGAGTCATGACAGTGTTGTGTTGTATCAGTAATGATCATCACTAGAAAAATTGTCAGAATATTTTTAGAAAAATTTTAACATAATTGAAATGATTAAAATAATTAATAAACTTCAGTTTCAAATGAACATTGCATAACTTCTGTAGATGCTAACATATATAAGATATTTGTAAGCTACGATAATATTATTTCTACGTAACTCTATAACATTTGTAGATAACATTTCTACATTTCTGTTTATCTTTTAATAAAAACAGTTTTGCTGTAATTTGGTAAATTAGTGTATTTAAAGAAGTTAATGTTCATAAAAACCACAAATATATTAAAAGCAAATAAAAAGAATTTGAGCGGGTTTCAAATCTCATTACGTTTAAGCATTTTGTATTTTATAATAATGCCTGGAAATTTCTTTGGACTCTTTGGAAATAATAATCTTTGGAAAAAGAACTCTAAAATAAACTTTGGTAATTTGGTAAATTAGTGTATTTAAAAAAGTTAATGTTCATAAAAACCACAAATATATATTAAAAGCAAATAAAAAGAATATTTCTAGAGTAGATACCATTTTTTTATTATAGTAGATTTTCTCTTTTTAATGTACATACATTCAGTTATCATGTACATTCATAGAAATTAGACTTTATTCAGATTTCAGTATTTCAGTGTTTAAAAAACGATTCTTAAAAATATATTTTAAGAATTTGTATTTACTTAATTTTATTTTATTACTTTTTTTTTATTATACTTTTATTTTATACATTATTTTATACATTACTTCCTAATTTTAATTATTATACTTCTGCTTTTGTGTATTGTTTGACTGTATTATATATTTTGTGTCTTGTTATATTGTATTATATATTTAATAGTGTATTGTTTGATAATTCAATTTTTTTGAGATAATAGCAATTTCATTGTTTAAATTAATTTAAGAATATACCAGTGGAACAAAATAGGTTTTTGACATTTAAAAAACATTAATTTTTTTTAATATGTGATTTAGACATCTAATGTCTCATTAAATAACCGTTTCCACAGGGTATTTAATTTTTCTGGCAATCAAATTTACTGATTATTTGTTTTTCAACTCAACTTTTTTTTCTGCATATAACTTTTTCTAAAAACACTAAACTAACAGATTCAACAATAAAGGTCATGATTGGTCAGATTCAACAATAAAGGTCATGATTGGTCAGATTCAACAATAAAGGTCATGATTGGTCAGATTCAACAATAAAGGTCAACCATCATGGTCAGCCATCACAGTATTGCCAAAAAAAAAAAAAAATCGTACTACCTAAGAAATAAATTGTTTACAAAATTTTGTAACTTTATATGAGTTCTTCATCTTTAGGAAAAAACACTAATGCAAACCAAAAAAATTGATTACCGAGAACTTCATTGTCAGAACTGACAGAAAGTTGTCGACTACGAGAATCAACATGAGAAATTTCTTTTGATCTAAAATAAAAAATTTTTGTTAATAGACTGCATAAATTTTTTGATTCCAGTTTGATCACCATTGGTTATAACAACCTAATTTTTAAAATAAATATTTAGTTACCAGATTTTTCTATAAAAATAACCAACTAATACTGGATTACTACACTGGAAAATATAATAAAAAATATATTAAAAAAAAAAAGTTATAATATAAATTTTTTATCAAAGTGTTCAAATCTCTTTGTTCAAATCAAAACTTGGATTTAAAGAACAAAAATCCCTTTAATCCAAATCAATTACTTATAAAAAGGGTTATTATTTGATTTAATTTCATTGAAACCTTGATTCTGGATCAAAAGATCTTTGATATGTAAGTCGTCTAGGTGTATCATTTTGCTCGTGAACTAAAGTGACAGATGTACCAATTGCTCGAATAACCACACCCATTTCACCTTCTAAGTCAATATGTTGTTCATACCTATATTTAAAACAAAAAAGTATAAAATATAAAACTTAATATACCTAATAACATTTAAAATATTTAAAAAATCATAAAATATAATTTTATAGGATGTTATCAAAATACATAATTGATTGCATCCTCTACCAGAATATATATATATATATATATATATATATATATATATATATATATATATATATATATATATATATATATATATATATATATATATATATATATATATACATATATATATATATATATATATATATATATATATATATATATATATATATATATATATATATATATATATATATATTCATATATATATATATTCATATATATATATATATATATATATATATATATATATATATATATATATATATATATATTCATATATAAAACAATTTTACCCAATGACTGCATTGCCACCAGCTTCAAGCACCTTTAAGCCAATCTTTCGCTTCATTTCACCTATTATTAAATTTATATAAAAAGAGAAAACAAATTATAAAAGAATAATTGATATTTCGTAACTAATGAGCGTAATTTATATAGAATTTATAAAGTAATAAATATAAAGTAATGTGTAATTAATATATAAAGAAGTGTTCAGTGTTGTAGTTTTTGTAAATTAAAACAAAATTTAATTGATTTTCAGCGTTCAATGAGTATGATGCAGAAAGATCTCAGAGCTGACAGTTATACAGTGGTAGAAAGCTTTTTTACAGAGTTTAATCTCCACAACATACTAGATAAATTTGAGCTTAACTTATTTTTGGCGCAGTTTGTTTATTAGGATTTCTGTTGGGAATTTAAGGATTGATTGAGATATTACAAGATTACAAAAAAACTATTTACTTCAAAGCCCTCAGTCAAAGTAACTTCCTTGCATGTTCTCTCTATATCAGTCAATGTATGTACTGAAGCCTTTGCAGCTCTCTAAATCAGTATGGCATCAGATTGCAGATTTTAATGTGCATTTATATTTGGTGTGTATGTGCATATGAATATATATAAAGGTTGGGTTAAGTAAAACTGACACTTTTTATATCTTGAATTAAAAAAGATCAGAATGAGCTACAATATTGATTTTTTTTTTAATGAACGCTTATTAAGTCTAGAACAAAAATAAAGAAAAAAGTTACATTTTTTCAGTACAATAGAATTTTCTAATTTTTCTCTTTTTGACTCTACTAGGTGAGATCTATATTCTGGGGTGGTTTTATCCCACTTCTTCTGTTGTCAGTAATTTGGCTTTAACTATTGCCCAATATTGCTCGATTGGAAAAAGTTCAGGACAATTTGCAGGATTATGTGAAGGTATGAAATTGATACTATTGGCATTGTAGAAATTTAGTTTCACATAAGTTTCATCATTAATAATTATACTTTTTTTTCCTACACAATAATTTTGTAACTTTTCTGCATGATTTCTTGACACTAAATTTTTTTTAGCATTTTGATCTAGGACTTTATACATCTTGAAGGACTTTATTTTATGCTTTTTCTTGATAGTCCGGACCATATGTGTGCTAGTTTTGCATTTTAGTGCAATATCTTACTCAAAAATGTTAGGATTTGCCCTTATTTTTGTCAAAACACGCCTCTTCATTTTTTTTTTAATGTTTAAGTTGTTGCTGCTTACAGGCTTTCTATTTATTGTATTAAGTATCAAATACTTATTTAAAGTTTGAATAACAGTGCTCTTAGAACATCCAAAAGTTTTAATTATCGATTTATTATATATTATGAGAGATAAATTAGGATTTTCCACATGAGCGTACAAAAATGCTGTTTTGTTAATAATAAATTTTTATAATAATAAACTTTTTTTTTTAATAATAAAAATAAAATTTAGTCATCATGTCATAGGTAAAGTCATTCAAAATAAAATCACCATCATGCTGTTGTAACTTTTTAAAATAGAAAAATTAGTCTTTATTGTTGTCTGACACAGCTTTCTTAAATCCTTTCCTCAATCCTAAATTTTTTTTTGACACTTCTTAAATCCTGCTTTGCAAAAGCAGTTGATAAAATTAATTTCTGAAACTTCATTTCAAGAATGAACATTTTCATAGCTTAAGGATAGAGATTGAAAGCATTTGTTTCTGTTGTCAAAATTGTTTATGATCTTTTTGATTAAATTAGTGTAGTATCTAACTAAATTAGTGCTGTATTTGATTAAATTAGTGTGTTATTTGATTAAATTAGTCCAGCATTTGCAGTACATACACAAACTAATAGGTTTTGGGAGGAAAAAAACAATTATATTTGCATTTTTTAATACACTTACCCTTATTTTAAGTATTTTATAAATCAAAGAAAAAAACAAAAAGTTTTTAGGTTTTCCAAAGAAAGTTTATTGACAAACACTTTTGAACAGATGTATAAATACATTACCTGAGAGGTTCTTATAAGAATCATTTGTATCAATTTTATTGAGAAAAAAAAATTTAATTAGGTCAACTAATCAGTGAGGTATTTTAAAGCACTTATCTAGTTTTAAAGACTATGTATGCTGGATTGTGATAAATTTATGAGTTTTGTCTTTATTAATTAAATTTAACATTTCCAGTCATGTTTAATATTTTATTCAGGAAGAAAATTTTTTAGTTTTCAATATTTCAAAAGTGCATTTGTAGTTTTTTTATTCAGTTTTATTTAATTCATAAGTTTTTTTAATAGATTGCCCAATATTGGTAATGGCAGGATGAGAGATAGATTGGTAATGGTGGGACGAGAGACAGATTGGAAATGATGGGATGAGAGACAGATTGGAAATGATGGGATGAGAGACAGATTGGTAATGATGGGATGAGAGACAGATTGGTAATGGAAGGATGAGAGACAGATTGGTAATGATGGGATGAGAGACAGATTGGTAATGGAAGGATGAGAGACAGATTTGTAATGATCGGATGAGAGACAGATTGGTAATGGAAGGATGAGAGACAGATTGGTAATGATGGGATGAGAGACAGATTGGTAATGGAAGGATGAGAGACAGATTGGTAATGGAAGAATGAGAGACAGATTGGTAATGATGGGATGAGACAGATTGGTAATGGCAGAATGAGAGACAGATTCATAATAGTGGGATGAGATACAGATTGGTAATTATAGGATGAGATTCTTACTGAGAGTTTAAAACAAAAATAGTCTTTATTTTTTTCATGGCATCACAAAATTACCTGATAAATTTGTAAAAAGACGAATTCTTGCTTCATTTGATGCCCTTGGCGTACGAATCTTGTCAATCCACTAAAAAAGATTTTTTTGTATTATAAATTAACTCAAATAAAAAATCACAGGTAAGAAATATAATATATTTATTAATATATAATATATTAAGACATGTACCAAAAAAAATCTGCGCGGACATTTTTAAGGATATTTATTTAACTATTGTATTTCAATATTGAATGTTATATATATTTTGCAAGTAAATATATTAATATTTTTAAATTTCACCTAAGAAAGTTTGTAAAATTTTGTATCTGTGAATGCAGGCACTTTGCGTTTTACACTCGACATCAGCTTTTGCACAGTCTTTGGCTGTACTTTCTTGGTAGCTCTAATCTTTTTATTGTTGAAGTCTTTTAATGTTTTTAGCTTCTTTTATATTGAACCTTAGTTTTGTTTTGACAAGAGCCCAATATCTTTCAATAGGACGTAGTTCGGGACAATTTAGTGGATTACAGTGTTTTCAACAAAATCTACTTTATGTTCTCTAAGCCACTTTAAAGTTGTCCTAGAGTAGTGACATGATGCTAAATTGGGCCAAAATAACGGGTTACCTGTGTGTATCCTTAATAACGGCATAAGACATTTCTTGAAGCATTTATTTATGTATATTTTGGTGTAATTGTTCCTGTAGTTACAAAAAAGAGCTTCTTTCACCACATTAACAAATTGCTTGCCAAACTAAGAATTTTTTAGCAAATTTTTGCATTCCAAGGCATTTATAATTGGAATTTAGTTTCTTGTAATTAATTGCTAAATAATATTGGTGTCCTGGAAAAGATCAGAAATATGCAGCACAATAAGTTTCATCGTCAATAAACAAACAAGATTTTTTGGCATACTTTTTATAGAACAGTTTTGAACAACAAATTGCAACATTTTCTTGCTTTTGTTTACAAAGAGGAACTTTTTTCTTTTTATAAGATTTATAGTCACAATTTCTCTTTACTCTTTGTATAGTGGAAGCATTTGTCTTAAATTTATTTGCTTCGAACAGAAATCTCCAGTTTTCTGTTGAAGGCATCTTTTACTTTTTTACCAAGATCTTGTCTAACAAAACATTTTTTTCTTCCACTCCTGATTTCCTTTTGATTGTACCAGTGTTCTTAAATTGTTTCACAACGCTCTGCACTGTTCTCAAAGCAATCTACAACTTTTTAGAAATTGTTTTATTTGATACACCAGGATTTTCAACGAAATTAAATACAAAATTTTTTCCTGCTTCTTATCTTGATTTGATGACATTTTAATTAAAACTAATTTTGAATAACACTAATACAATGACATTTTAAAACAATTAGATATTTATAATGATGCACGGTTTCTGTAAACACTACAACAGAATACGCGCAGATTTTTTCTGGCCTTAATAATTATTACTTTATAACATTTTTTTGTTATAATAATTGTATTTTTTTAATAATTTAATTTTCATACAAAAAAACTATTTTTTTAATTTATGGTCAAAAGAGCAACTCTATTTTTTAAACTGTGGTTTTAAGCTTTCTCTTCCTCGTTTTTATATAGTTATAGTAAAAAAAATATAGTTAACAATTTTAAATATCAGAAATAACTTTGAACAAAATTAAAATATACTGTTACATCTAATTACTGTTATAATTTAAATGAAGTAAAATATGACAATTATTGGCAATAAATTACTGTTAACCAATTAAAACAAAAAATTTTACTTGATACTCAGGGTCGTTGTTTACAATAAGTTCATCAACAAAACCTTGAATACTTGCTATAATATAACCAGATGGTACACTATGAGCTAAAATCAAAAATTATTCGAAGCTTAAACAAGTTTAAATTTTTTTTAATATATTTTATACTTGTTATTGTTTATTAAGGAAAGACATATTTAAAAAAAAAATTAAAATTCCTACTTTAAAATTTTAAATTGTTTATGATGAGTTTCGAAAAAAAAAACACACCAGGGGAAATGTCAAAGGTTCTCTATTTTTATATGGATTTCTGGAATCTCTATTTTTATATAGACTTTTCTCCTGACTCCTGGAGCTCCAAAAATGATTTTCATGGTTGCAGTTTGTTTAGCCTTGTAAAGTTGAACATAAAAAAAACACTAAAACAGTTCAAAAACAGTATTACAGGACTATTAAAGTCCTGTTTAGTGTTCTGACCTTCTCTATGAAGTTCAAAACTTTTCTATGGAGTTCAGAACTACTTAAACATTTTTGGAGCTAATAAAATAATGATTATTTAAAAAACTTCTTTTTATGATTCCTAACCCTGAGAGACAACAGCAACTTATAAATAACAATCAGTAAGCATAGAAAATAATAAAGATGAAGTATAGTACCTGAGTAAGTAAAGTACCTGAGAAAAATTGTATACCACATGAGGTTTGCCTATACTTGTTTGCATCAGAGAACAACTGAATTCGAACCTTTAAACGTATATATCCTCGAATGCCTGAACATAAAAATTAAAAAAAAAAAACAATAAATAAAATATTAAGTAAGCGCAAATAAAAACTTTATTCCTTTTTTTTTTTGAAAATATATATAATTTCAAAATTATTTATAAAATAAATTATGAAATTACACGCTATTCAAAAGAAAGCTATATTTCAGGGAAATTCTTTTTAATTTCACTAATAAGAAATGACAAAATTTTGAAATAACAAAAATCATTTTAATTTAACTTTGTTTCAAAAATCCAATCAATCAAATCTAATATTGCATCTAATTTAATAAAAATCATAGTAATGAAACCCCCGCAGATGGACATTTCAGAATGATGTCATAAATGGGCATCTGATATATCATTTATTATTGTTATTATTATTACTGTTATTAATAATAATAATAATAATAATAATATTATTATTATTATTATTGTTGTTGTTATTACTATTGTTATTTTTATGTACCACTTAGTTACCATGTACTTTATCTTCTCTTTTTAATAAATGCATTATTGCATACAAGGTATTACAAATATTTTAAGATGCAATACAGTTTATTTATCAAATTATCTAAAATTTGGTACATTCGTATTTTGCCAATAGGAACAAGATTAAAACCAATATGTGAACTAAACTCCTCCACCATTTTCAAACAGATTGTTGAAGAGTTAGGTGATTTATTTGAGAAATTGTTTTTTGTTCTGAAAATGAAAGTTTTTAAAATTTAAAAATATGCATTTCTTACATTTCTTTAATTAAGTACTAGAAGTTTTCTATTGATTTAAAATTTTCTTTAAATTCACATTTTCATTAAAAGCTACAATTTCTTCAAATATAGTTATACTTATATATTCCTATTCTTGCCCACAATTCCTATTCTTACCCACAATTAAATTTGAAGTATTATATGTGGAACATGATATTACTTACCGTGCAAGGTATCATAGATTGGAAATAGTCCATGCAACCCATTAGAGCCATCTTGACGAACTAGTAAGTTTAAGCTAATGTTAACCTAAAAATATTACATTTATTAATAATTATTTTAATTTAACTTTTTCATGCCAAAAAGGGTCATTAACAACCCTGTAGTAATAAATCAATAAATAAGAAATTTAATAAGTAAAGCTATTAATCAAAATTACCTAATTTGATGTTTATTGCAACCGATATGGGAGGTTTAGGTTGGGAGGTTTTGGGAAGTCTGGGTTTCATATTGAATGTAATAAACAATCTTTATAGGCAATCTGAAATAAGTTGCTTTGGAGAGTTTAGAACATGTCAAGCAAAATGATAGTGACTGTAGATAAAATTTTAGTCTTTATTTCCCATTGAGAGATTTATTTTAAAAAATAATGACTCTGAATATAGCAATAGTAAAATTGCTGATTTGGAGACAAAAGCTAATATAAAACTTTGTAATAATAAAAACTTTTTTGATGCTGAGCTCTGTGATTTCTTGATGCTGACACCTGTGAAAGACAACTTTTATACCTGGTTAGTGAGATTTTTTTAAAAATTTTGTGTTTCCTCCTACTGACAGCGTCAGTAGAATTACGGGAAGTTCTAAAGCAAGTTTGTTTTTGCTCACTTGAATCAACAACAACTTGTCAAACATGTGGACAACAAATAAATAAAAATAAATATGTTTAGTTTTGAGAACTAATGACCTTTATTTATTTCCAAGATCAATTCAATCCAAGATTGTCAAGATGAAATATTTGACATGCCTTGGTTCTTTACAAAAATGAGTCAGGATCAGATTTCTCAGTACCTCTACCTTGTTGACAACAATCCAGATCAAAATTATAAAAGTTGGTCAATAACTTGAGATGTTTAATAATAATTTACTATTCCGCACTTACTATTCCGAACAACTCTCCATTTTTTTTTCCATTGACAAATAAACAGCAGGTATAGTCATATTATTGTTGTTGTTGTTATTACTATTGTTATTTTTATGTACCTCATAAAAATTATATATATATATATATATATATATATATATATATATATATATATATATATATATATATATATATATATATATATATATATATATATATATATATATATATATATATATATATGTATGTATATATATATATATGTATATATATATGTATATATATATGTATATATGTATATATATATACATATATATGTATATATATATGTATATATGTATATATATATACATATATATATGCCCTATATATATATATATATATATATATATATATATATATATATATATATATATATATATGTATATATATATACATATATATATGCCTTATATATATATACATATATATGCCATATATATATATACATATATATATACATATATATATGTATATATATATACATATATATATATATATATATATATATATATATATGTATATATATATATATATGTATATATATATATATGTATATATATATATGTATATATGTATATATATATACATATATATGTATATATATATATGTATATATGTATATATATATACATATATATATGCCCTATATATATATATATATATATATATATATATATATATATATATATATATATATATATATATATATATATATATATATATATATGTATATATATATACATATATATATGCCCTAATATATATATGAATATATATATATATATATATTAGGGCAGGCCACAGTCCCACATAAATTTTTACAAAAAATTAATTTTACTAGTGGCTGCATAAAATATTGTTCCTTTTCCTATAAAAATCATTTTTTGTTATGAAAGTGTTTATGTATGAAAGGTTATGTATGAAAGTGTTTATGTTTATCTCTAAGTACTGCCGCATTTCATTTTTAATGTGAATTTGAAATCTGAACAAAAAACACAAATCCTCCATCTGTTCCGTTATTTAAATTATTCGGTTAAATACATACGAATAATAGCGTTTTTTTTTGTAAACAAACTGAAAATGCGCTATTTATATAATGTGAAATATTTAAATCAGACTTGATATGCTTATGCAAAAGTACTAAGAGTTTTTTTTTTTTTTTTTTTTTTTTTTTAACATCTTCACTTCCAACAAGGCTGCAAGCAACCACTATAAGAGTTGGAAGTTACTGGAAGAGAAAAGACTAAATCTGTAGAGCAAGATAACGATTGACTGATGACTTAAAAGATTGCAAATTATATGAATCAGGAAAGCAAGATGAAGGAAGCGAATTCCAAAGAACTGATGTTCGAGGAAAAAAACTAGAAGAATAAGAGTTTTTGAAGCACTTAGGAACAGTCACAGAAAAAGGATGAGACTTAATTGAATGGCGAGTAACACGAGAATGAATTTTTTAGCAAATAATACTTTTTTTTCAATTTAACAGCCTAAGTATCTTTCTAATAAGATATTTATATTTTTATCCTTTTTTAAATAATTTTAAATAATTGTTACAATTGAACCCGTCATTTCGAAAAGGGCACAGGTCACACTTTTTTCAAATTTCACTTTTTAATGCAATTTTATTTATTCAAGTGTTTTACATATTCCCTTTGAAGGAGAAACATTTTCATATGCCACAAGTCAACTTTAAATGCAAATGAAAGTTAAAGTCTGTTTGAAAATGGCACAAGTCCCAGACTTATGCCTTTTTCAAGTGAAACAAAGCGCAACTGTAGTGACATAATTTCACTTTTTTTGTAACAAAAATGGAAAATCGCGAACTTGCTGAAAATGCATATAGATCTAGAAAAAGAGTGTCTGGTATAAGAAACAGTGGAAATTATAAACACAAAAAAATAAAAAAAGCCAAAATTGCTGGAGAAACTTATAAAAACCACAAAGGAAATGATGTGGCACCAAGTCAATCGGGTGCTTCTTGCAGGTTAGTTTTTTGTTCTTTAGAGTATGACTATATTCGTTCTCAAATTTATGCTTATTTACTCATGTTTTACCACCAATAATTGGAGGTAAAACATCTTGATTTACATTTGATATACAATTATTACAATATTACCTCAATAATTCTATTTATTTACAGATGTAATTCAAAGCGTATGGAGCTTGTATCTATAGATTTTATAAGTACAATTCAGTTTGTTAACAAATTTGATTGTAAAAATGCTCAAGACACATACTTGCAGTCATTGATTGAAAAGAGGGAAGATGGTTTAGATCTAAAGAACCTAAGAAAAAAGAATTTTCTTTTATTTATCACATTAAGATTGAAGGTGTGATAAGAAAAGTACGCAAGAAATCTTTTTGCTGTATGCATGGAATTTCTATGAAACAAGTTAGACATTTATGCATTTTATTAAAAAAAAAAAGAGCAGCCTATAGATTACAGAGGTAAACCTCTGTGATCACGATGCAACGCATTACCTGGAGATACATTAACAAAAGTACGTGAGCAAAATATGTACCTTTGTGCTGAATTATATTTTTAAAAATATTGGCAACAAAGCCAAAGAACTGCACCTATTTTCTGATGGTTGTGCAGGCCAAAATAGAAATCATGCCACGGTCCGAATACTTTTATCACTGGTAGCTGAACTAGATAGCAATATAAATGAGATACAATATTACAAACCAAAAAGAGGTCACTCATTCTTGCCAAACGATAGAATGTTTGGAACAGCAAAACGACATTCAAAAAAAAGATCGGATTTACACACCAACGATGTAAAAAAATGATGGCTAAACCATTATAAGAAACTTGGGCTATCTGTGGATTCCTATAAAAAAGGAGTACCCAAGGACAAAAAACTTACTTTTGGTATTTCTAAAATTTCACATTTCACATTCTCTAATACCACAGCAGGTTTAGTGAAAACATGTGAATCCATAGATTGCTTAGTCAGTTATAATTTCCAGCTATTACAAAGGATGGGTACCCGGTCAACCTTACCATTAAGTAGTACTCCTGCATATGATGGAAAATTACCTATCAATGAAAAAAATATATCAGATTTGAAAAAAATATGAAAAAATATATTCCATATTCAATAGAAGAGTACCAAAACTTCTATACAAAGGTTTTTGCTTCGCCAACAACTTCGGCAAACAATGAATTCCAAGAAATATTTGATGATTACCTAACAATAAATGTTTTTGTGTAATAATAAATCATTATTATTCTGATAATCTTTGGTTTTTTATATACAAAAAAGCGTTCATTCCGAAAAAGACATAAGTCCATAAATTTAAATTAGAAATATATGTGTTATATATTCTTTTTTTATAACAAATAAAACTCTAAAAACTTATGTATAACTTTTATATATCTACTGTTATCTTTAGTTTCTTTAGCACCATAGACTTTTTTTCTAATAAAGTTATTTTTGTTGATCTTGAAAAGTTTGAATAAATGGACTTGTGCCCTTTTCGAAATGACGGGTTTAATTGTACAATTGTAACATGTTTTGAAAAACATATCTCTTGCTGATCTCGGAAAACATTCGTAAATATTTGAGGTCATTCAGAATTGCAACAATAAAACAAAGTATTAATAATAAATTCATATTAAGATACAACACATCAAATTTGGTTGAACAAAATTGAAATGAGGTTATAATTTTGCACCATCATTTTTCTAAAATTTCAAATTAATTAATGAAATGAAACCAAACTGTATTACAAATGAAATGTTAATCAAGTCAGATGCTAAGCAGTTGAATAATTTAGTAATAATTATTTAAATGCAAGATCTTGAAGTTGATGACGTTATAAATTTGCACCACACTGTATGTACACAATATATATATATATATATATATATATATATATATATATATATATATATATATATATATATATATATATATATATATATATATACATACACACACATATATATGTGTATATATATGTGTATATGTATATATACATATATATATATATATATATATATATATATATATATATATATATATATATATATATATATATATATATATATATATACATATATTTAGGGCAGGCCACAGTCTCACATAAATTTTTCAAAAAATTAGTTTTACTCATGGCT